AGATGCGTCCCCGCCGGCAGATCTAAGTTCTGCTTGTGCCGCCTCTTCACCAGCACTGGGCGTATCTGTCTTTTTCAGTTTAGCCGCAGCGCAAGGTTTTCATTCCCCTTTTCAGATGACTCATGATGTCGCGTACCTTTCCATGTGCCTCTCTGGCCATCTGTGAAATAACTGCGGTGACATAACTTCAAGTCTCATGTTCATTTTGTTGTTAGTTGATCTGCTTTTTGCTTACTGATTTTTACGTTCTTTCACCTTCAGGAGAATTCCAGCAAGAGTCTAAGAATGTAAATCTGTTTATTGCTGCTCTAGCTTGCCTCAAGGATTATGTGAGAAATGCTTCTACATTTTCTTGGGTTTTCCTCCCTTTCTGTTTCACTCTGTCTCTTGCCCTTTTGACTCCAAGGTGTGGGTGCGCTTTTTCTCGCTTGAGCTTGTGGGTTTCCATGTAGCTGTCTTCTTGCTCTGTGGTCCTGCTCTGCTGCCTCTCTCGGTCCCAGGCCTGCTTGTTCCGGCCATGGACCCTGGCCTGCTGAACCTGTGACATCACTGATGGATCACGTCCTGTGCACTTGTTACCCTATTTTAATTTGCATTTATCTTCTAGGTTGATTTAGTTATGTGAGCTTTTTCTTACCTTACAAATTTGTGTACAAACTGTAGAGCATGTTTTGGTCTCTGAAGCTTTTTCTGTGTGAGGGCTGGATTTGGGGGATAGTTCTAGCTTTTTGCACCATTCCTTGGTTTCAGGGAGTTATGGTATTGCCTGCAGTGCAAACAAAGAGATACTCCTATTACTCCTTAGAGCATCTCCCGCCTTCTTTTTGCTTTGGTGAACTGGATGAACGGCCATGAGGAAATAGTCTGGAGGTCTCACCCGGCACCAGCTTCTCCTGGGTCCTGTCCTGCTGGCTTTTCTCCAGAATCAAGGGGTTGAGTAGAAAGCCCTGTCTAAGACATCTGTCTGGGAAATAGCTTCCCGCTTTCCTTTCCTCCTGGGGAGGCCCTCCCTCATCTGTTCCACTCCTCGGGTCTCAGGGTGTGCGGGACGGCCGCCTGGTGTCTGCGGGGCTTCCCCTGGGCTGGAAGCCTGCTGGGCAGCTTGCAGGAGACCCAGTGAGGAGAAGCTTTCTAAGGAGTCATGACCGGTCTGTGGGCAGCTAAGATACACGATTCTCTCTCAAAGGCGGCCGAGTGTGGTTGGAGAGGCAGAGACTGAGTTTTTATTTTTTTATCCTATGACAAATCTCATGATCTGGGAGGTGGACTGTTGGCACCAGAATGGTGTCAGGAAGCTGGTAGCCATAGGGAAGAGCCACCTTTTGTTTCTGTCAAGCAGATACTACCCCACCTTAGGATCTAGAGCCTGAAGCATCCCTGAGAGTAACAGTGCAGAGGCTTACATGTGAGGCGCTGTTCTCAGCACTTTACATGGTCCCTGCTCTAAACCTCACGACAACGCTGGGATGTGACATCACCAGTAGCCCCAGTTTTCAGATGAGCAAACGGAGGCACAGGGACGGGCGGCAGCTGTCGACGTCACACAGCTTGTCAGCTGCAGACCAGGGCGTGTCCTGAACTCTGTGTGTTGGGCTCCATGCTTGGTCCTCTCCACGTTGGGTCCCATTCAGTCCCATCGCAGCTCTGCCAGGTAGCTTCCGTCATCTTCTTTTCCAGAAGAGAAATGAAGACAGAGTCTACTCACATTTCCCAAGCAGCCAGTGGCCAGGTGGGGTTCAGATCCACGTGTGTCTGAGGCTTCGGACAGGCACAAGGAAGAGTTTCTAAGAAAGGCTGAAAGCCAGGGTCTTGGACATTTATCTGCTGGTCAGTGTGGACTCCCTGTAAATAATGCACAGATGGAGGAAATGCCAATTGTGTACCATTTGTTTCATTAACTCACCATACCAGTTTTGTCTATAACGTGGTGCCCGTTGCCCACGAAGCAATCCCAGCAGACCCCTCCTTCAGCATGTGGAAGATGAGGACCCAAAGCTCTACCTGCTCAGACGACATAGCTGCGTTCTGAGTAATGTGGGCCCTTCGTCTTGTAGAGGTTGTCATGGGAGTAGTAGAAACAAGACCTAAAATAGAACAGGATGTGAAAAATCTCATTGTTCTCTTCTGTAAATATCAGGTTGCATAACTCCTAATATAATCCCCAAGTTATGCAAAATAAAGTGTATTATCTTTCTATAACTATTATTATGCTTAGAAAAAGTTGGAATATTAAAACTCACCCCAGAGTGAATAATAAAGAAGTGTTTGCTGAGATCCTATAGATAGTTACTAATGCAAATTCCTTAAGCCCTGACCCTAGGCCATTGGCAGCTGCCAGCTCTTCCGTGGTCTTCCCCCATCAGCCTCCAAAGTACCCAGCAGCCCATCCACGTGACCCCTTTGTCACAGCACATGTCAGTGTCTGAAATTGTTTGTTTGCCTGTCTCTCCCCAGTGTAAGTTCTGGGTGAGTTAGGTCCCTTGTCTGTTGTGGCTTTGAACCCCAGGTCTAGAGCAGACACTCAGCAACCTTACCTGCTGGGCAGATGGATGTGTCAATGCCCGACCCAGGGGCTGTCTGTGGTGCTCTGGAAGCCTCCGAGAGTCGCTCCCGCCTCCCGCCTCCCGCCTCCCGCCTCGGGAGGGCACTCAGCCTCTCTAGGCTCCTGTTTTCTGTCTCTCAGTCTCCCCTCACCCTCTTCCAGCTTTGCCTCTTGCTACACCCAGCCTGTCCCCTACCTGTCGTTATCCCAGTTACCTTGGTTACATGAAAGAATGAACGGTAACGTGCATTTGTGACCCTGTTGTAATTATCTCCTTCTGTGATTCAGCTTTGTAGGTGGAAATCACTGAAGAGATAATCTGTAAAACAGTTTCAGAGCCAGAAATGTGATCATCTAATCATTAAATTGGGCCTCGCTAAAATAAATTAAAGCTATAAGATGGGCCGAAATCCAGACATGAAATAGTATTTTATTGGTGAATCCCTGGGGAAGCAGACATCTTCCTCACCCTGCTTCTGGGAATGCAGAAACAGCACAGCCCCTGTGGCGGGGAACTTGGCAACAGCTAGCAAAGTGACACGTGCGTTTACACTGTCGGGGCCGTTCCACTGCTGGGAATCTGTCCCCCAGACGCACTGGTCAGTGTGAAAAGACCCGTGTAACGGCTGTACATTGTGGATTATGTGACATATGAAAGGCTTTTCCGTGACATTGAATCCATGGGTGGGGACCTGGCTGGGTGGTCTCTGGTGCTTCCACAGTGGGGATCTCTGCGGGGCTGTAAGAAAGGAGGAGGAAACAAGGAAGCGCTGTGTGTTGCTGAGAAGTGCTGGGCAGGGCGTACAACTAAGGGGAAAAAGCAGAGGAGAGACAAGTGTCTGTGGTGGCTGCTGTTTTAAAAGGGAGAATATGAATACAGACATGCATTTGCGTGTATCTTAAAAATGGAAGGATGAACCGTGCTTTTATTTATTCTTTTAGAGCTACTTTTGAGGAATGGGGGAACCAAGATGGAGGGGACAGATACAAAGCAGGACTTTGTACCTTATTTTGTGGATTTGACTTTGGAGCCACGTCGATATTTTACATCATTATAAAACAAAATTAAGTAAAAGGTTATAACTTTTAAAACTTTTTGGTAGATTTGGTCAGGTTTTTCTCTAAGAAGTTTATACCCTGTTTGCCTCCTATCACCGCTTGAGGAGAACGCTTTATACTAGAGCCTTTGTCAGCCCTGGGTTGTCACCTCTGACAGCTTCGCCAGTCTTTTAGGTGAAAAATAATTTGCTGTTTTCATCTACATTCTCTGATGACAAGCATGGTTAGGCATCTTTTTATTCATGTGTTCGCCATTTTGTATTTCTCCCGTGTAATGTAAATGTATGGGCTTTTTCTATAAAAAAGAGTTTTTCTGTTGATGTATAAAAACTTTTTGTATGTGGTGGATATAATTGTTATTTGCAGATCAGCAGCAGGCCCACGAGCGCATCCCATTGGGTTTGCTCAGGCCCCAAGTGCAGAGCAGCAGATGGTGTGTACAAGAGCGGTTCCTTCTGTGTGGCACACGTGAAGCGTGCACGTGGTCCTAGAGCAACCCAGGCCACACTTGCCCCACATGGTTTAAGTGCTAGGTGTCAATTTGTGAGCTCTCTAGAGCAACAACAGCTGTTTTCTTTTCCTTTTTTTTAAAATTGGGGAATTGGGGAAGGGGAACAGACAAGTTGTTGTCCTTCAGTCTTAGTTGTGGAGAGCGCAGCTAGCTCAGCTCCAAGTCCAGTTGCCATCCGGCTGTCTGTCGGCAGCTCGCAACCACTCAGCTCAAGGTGCTGTGTTCAGTCTTAGTTGCGGGTGGGTGTAGCCACCATCCCATGCGGGAGTCGAAACAGCAGCCTCATTGTTAAGAGCGCACGCTCTAGCCACTGAGCCATCAGGGCGGCAGCTCAGCTCAAGGTGCCGAGTTCAGTTTTAGTTGCGGGTGGGCATAGCCACCATCCAATGCGGGAGTTGAACCCGGCAACTTTGTTGTTAAGAGCATGTGCTCTCACCAGCTGAGCCATCCTGCCACCTGTTGGCACCTCAGGCGCAGCTCACTGGCCCATGTGGGAATCGAACCAGCAGCCCTGTTGCTCAGAGCTCACACTCTTGAGCAAGCTCTTAACCAACTGAGCCACTCGGCCGGCCCATTCTTTTCCTTTAAAAAAAATTTCCTATGGCTCATTACTGGGTCTGAGTGGTAAGTAGCTCATAAATGTCTATGGAAGTTGATTTTTGGTGAATGTGTAAACTAAATTTGATTGTCTTTTTAGTTTGGGATTGTTCTTGATTTTTAGTGACTCATGGTAACCATTTTTATGTTCTGTTCAATTGTATATCTGAATTAAACAGTCATTTTTCATCGAAACATATGCAGTGGAAGTGGGTTTTCAGCATGGTTTTCTAGCTGTTAGCGTTTGTCATTCGTGGGTGTATTGAGTGTGTCTGTTGTTCCTTTCTCTAGGTCATCACTCCATGTAGGAAGCTCATCTTATGTGCTGATAACAGAAAAGAAATGGAAGACTGGATCGCAGCTCTGAAGACCGTCCAGAACAGGGAGCATTTTGAGGTAAAAATGAAACAAAACAGCCCTTTTTGTTGCCCTCTCCTTAATGTTCTGCCATCCGAGCACCTCCCATGTGGACTGTACATCTTGGAGCTCACGTTCTCAGCATGTTCCTTGTAAAGTAAGTCCCCCATCAGACTGTGACTCCATCCTTTATCCTTTTTTTGTTTTAAGCTGAGCCATTCTGCCACCTGTTGGCAGCTCAGCGGCTGCTCAGCTCGGGCCGGGAATCGAACCGCTGTTGCTCAGAGCTCAAACTCTTGAGCGAGCTCCTAACCAACTGAGTCATTCGGCCGGCCCTCCCATCTTTTATCCTTTACGAACTTCCTGCTCTCCTCTCCTGGACTCGTCACGAGACCTGTTCAAGTTACCACCGTAAGAACATCAAAGGTTCGCCTCACCTTGGCCGTCTTTATTTCTTCCTCCAGCCGACCCAGTACAGCATGGACCACTTCTCAGGGATGCACAATTGGTATGCCTGTTCCCACGCGAGGCCGACCTACTGCAACGTGTGTCGCGAGGCCCTGTCTGGGGTCACATCCCACGGATTGTCCTGTGAAGGTACAAACGATGTGTCATTCTGCTGAGGAGGCAGCCCGACCTTAGAAACCAAACAGGTTCACCGCGAATCAGTCAGGAGTCAAGTGATTCCTGTGACCCCGTGTTTGTTTATTGTACCCACTGAGGAGTCTTTGATAAGTTGGTTTTTTATAATAATGAAACAAAGGGAAAGAGGGGAAGTGGTGATGAAGAGACACAGAGAGGAGACGTAGAAGACACAGAGGGAAAAGGGACTGAAACTGTCAGCCATATGCAGTTATCCCCTCTCTGGGTAAATTGGGTTGTGGATAAGTGGATTAACATTTGTCTTCCAGATGCAGAGGGCAGGCTTACAGTGTTTGGGCGGGAGCAGGGGGCAGGAGCAGAGAAAGGCCAGCTGTGGCTCCCAGGCCAGATTCCACTTGCCGCCTGCTTTTACATGGCCTGTGAGGTTTAGAATGGTTTTACATTTTTAAATGGTTGGAAAAATTCAAAAGAAGACGACTATTTTGTGACACAGAAAATCATGTGACACTTAAATTTCAGTGCCCATCGTGAAGCATGGCCCATGGCGGCCCTCGTGCGTCAGGGGCAGACCGAGCAGCTGGGATGGAGACTGTGCATGGCCCACGAAGCCTGAGCTGGTTGCTCTCTGGCCCTTTCAGAAAGTCGGCTGAGTCCTGGCTGTCGTGGGCATCTGGTGTCACCGTGACCAGTCTCTGTGCGTGCCCCAGTAGTTAGATTATAACGGGGAGTGCTGTGCATTCATTGCAACTTTCCCAGAAGACACCCGGGCAGTTCCGCCAGAGTGTCTCCAGCCACGGACAGCGGCTGTCACGGGCGAGGGTCGAGCTTCATGTGTCATTCTCTCTCACAGTGTGCAAGTTCAAGGCCCACAAGCGGTGTGCTGTGCGTGCAACCAACAACTGCAAGTGGACCACGCTGGCCTCCATTGGGAAGGACATCATCGAGGACGAGGACGGGGTACGCTCCGGGGGGCCACCAACGCTGCGTGGCCCCCTCTCCTCACGCCGACCCCGCGTGGCCCCCTCTCCTCACGCCGACCCTGCGTGGCCCCCTCTCCTCACGCCAACCCCGCGTGGCCCCCTCTCCTCACGCTGGCACCCGGGCAACAGAACCCTCTGCCACCTCCACTGGCCTGTGCTTAGGGCGGGTTTGAGTAGCTCCTGCCTTGTACTTGGGGGCCTTAGGTGGCCTCTGTCCTCTGAGCTCTTCCCAGTCCCCAGCAGTCGTGCTGTGCAGGAGCGTGGGTGGGGCAGCACCTTGCAGACCCCACCTCCCTCTGCCTGTGCGGAGAAGAATGTCCTGCCTGAGCTCATCTGGGAACACCTTTGCCCAAGGGCTCCTGTGCTGTGCGTGGGGTGTGGAGCTGTCCCTAGTGTGTGTCTGCTTGGTCTGCAGATCGCCATGCCTCACCAGTGGCTGGAAGGGAACCTGCCCGTGAGCGCCAAATGCACGGTGTGTGACAAGACCTGTGGCAGTGTGCTGCGCCTGCAGGACTGGCGCTGCCTCTGGTGCAAGGTCACGGTGAGTGCGCAGCCCTCCTGGGGGTGTCTGTGGGCCTCGCTCCGCCCCCAAGCTGGGTAAATTCCCTGGTGGGAACAGCAGGTCAGCCCATTCCTCCTGGGGCCCCAGTGTGTGTGAAGGGGCTGTGACCCCCCCGTGACATGTGCGTGCTTGTTTCAGGTGCATACGGCATGTAAGGAATCCTTACTGAGCAAGTGCCCCCTGGGCCTGTGTAAGGTGTCAGTCATTCCTCCCACGGCTCTCAACAGCATCGATTCCGACGGTGGGTCACGCTCCTGGCCTGTCCCTGTCCCTATCCCTGTCGTGCTTCCCTCTCCGTGCCTTCTCTCCTCCCATGCTGGAATTGGCTGTGCTGGTGATTTTGACCTGTGGTCAGGAGGAGGTCAGGCCCAGTGGTCGGGGGAGAAGAGTTATGTACAGAGTTGGTAAATGGTGTCCCGATGGCACTGGGCATGCTGGGGACATGAGGCTGGTACCTTCCTGGGAGGGGAGGGACCCAGTCGGCTGTCTGAAACTCTCGTCCGTCTCTGACGTGAGCCGCTGACGTGTTCTCCGTCTACCAGCAGATTAGTAGCATGCTATTCCTTGCCTGCGTCACCTGTGCAGGTGGCATTTGATGATGTATGTTACCAGGTGTTGGCGGGAAGGCGGCAGACTGGGGCACGCACGTGTCTCAGGAAGTCAGCTCTTCCAGATTTAGAACAAGAAGGAAAGACAGAGCACACGGTGTACGGCCTTTCTGAAATTCAGAATCCTTGTAAATGTGACGTCACATGGGGCGGGGACGCCTTCCCTCTGTGGAGACAGCGCTGTGGACATATCCTCCCTAATCTCTTGCTGGCCCCTGGGCATGCACCTGTGAGCTGCAGGTGCCTTGGGCGTGCCTGCTTCCTGCACGATGCAGAGTGCCCCTCCCATTCTCGTCCGACCTTTCTCATTCTCCCCTCCAGGTTTCTGGAAGGCCACATGTCCTCCATCCTGCACAAGCCCCTTGTTGGTCTTTGTCAATTCAAAGAGCGGGGACAACCAGGGCGTGAAGTTCCTCAGAAGATTCAAACAGCTGCTGAACCCAGCCCAGGTCTTCGACCTCATGAACGGAGGACCACACCTCGGGTAGGAAGCTTGTGAAATATGTCTTTCTTGGAGTTTAAAAAAACTTTGAAGATAATGCATGTTTTTTAAAAAAGGATTCCAAGATACGGACATTTTTAAAAAGGAAGTAAAAGTTGTCTTTCTTGAATCATCCCCTCCCCAAGTTCCACCCATAGAGGTACCTACTCTTAATAGAGGTGCGTGTCCGTCCAGCTTCCAAACGTATGCACACACGCACTTTTAAATCACATGTGGTTGTGTGTCACCTGCCGTTGTGCGGCGTGCTGTGGACGTGTTCTGACATCAGTCGTTACAGACCTGCCTCGTTGTGTCTAGTGGCTGCTTAGTATAGAGGAAGCTTCCTCCAGTGAGGCCAGAACAGATTTTTCACATGGGAGGGCACAGTGACACGTACAGATATGCGAGGGCCGGTGTGTGGGGCACAGTAGTTACACCTTTTATCAGCTAGCTGGCGAGCTGATGTGTGTCCTTTCTAGTTTTGTACATTTCAAAGGTTTGTGGGAAACACTTGCTTCTGTAAATCTTGTCATTTGAGCTAGCTCCTTTTGCAAGCAGCAGTTCTGGGTGGGGATTCTAAGAGCCTCCTGGCTGGTTCAGAGGCTTCCCTGGACATGTGCAGGGGGAGGGGCTGGCAGATCCTGTCCTTGTCTCTGTGTCTTCCTGGGACGCTGTTTTTGGAGCAGGGGTTGCTCTCACGAAAGCCTGGGTGCCAGACGGAGAGGACATGACACTGACCCTGGGGGCCTTGGGTGCTGTTTTCCCGCTGGCAGCAAGGCGCTGCTGGAAAGCATCGCAAATGGCAGCTTTCTGGCGTGTTTCCTCAGAGGCAGCATTCCGCAGATAGACTCATTAACTGAAGGACATGCGAGCATGTTCTCCACCGTGTTCATGAAGAAATCCTTTTAGTTAAAATGGGGCCAATGGAGGGATCATGCAGCCCTTGTCACAATACGCCAAACAGGCTCACTCCCCGTGGCACCAGGTGGGTTGGAGGGAGAATGATCAAACACTCCTTCTGGCTGCGTGCTGTGGGTTTGCCTAGGAGACAAAAACGACTCAGGCCCCACGGAGGCGCAGTGGGAGTGGATTTAGGAAATGCCCATTTCTGGAAGGCAGCCGCAATCCCATATTGTTAAACTAAATTCTTCATTTCCTCGATTCCTGGCCTCGACGTATCACCTGTTGTCCAGCGAGCAGGAGGCCTGAGAGAGGTCAGTGTTCTCAGAGGGACATGTGGCCGTTTGTGTCATAACCCTGCCACTGCAGAACCTCACCTCTGTTTGTACTGAGTTCCGGGCCATGTCACTCGTTCCTGTTTGTCTTCCGAGGACTTCCTCTGGCTCAGACTCTGCTAGATGCAAGGCCCAGTAAGAGGGGTCCCTGCCTCCTGCCGGGGGTGTGGCACACGAACAGATAGTCAAGGTCACAAGACAGGGTGATCTGTCACGTTGACAAAGAGATGCATAGATTCTGTGGAACCCAGGGAAAGGGCTTGTAAATCAAATGGGGGCGGGGGTCCTCTCAGATTCTCCCCTGAACCAGCATTCTGAGGAGAGTTAGTGCTGTCATGGTGGGGAACCTTCTAGGCAGAGGGTGCCGTGTGTGCAAAGAGGTGAGAAGATAGTGGGGTGGCCAGGGCAGACGGGCAGGCAGCTGCAGGCCGGGAGGGCCCTAGGTGCTGGGCGAGAGGCTTGAACCTCCCCTGGAGAGACTTGTTTGGGAAGATCACACTGATAGCGGGAATTGAAGGTGTCCCTCAGGAGACGGGGGGTAGGGAGGAGGCTCTTGTAGCCGTTAGGAGAGAAGCAGTGGTGGCCTGCACTCGGGACAGTGGGGACTGGCCTGGGGACTGGGTCGACGAGGCTCTGCAGGCCTCCAAAAGGAAACCTAGGACAAGGAGGTGCCCATGGGACATGCGACGGGCGTGTGGGGTAGACAAGTGCAAGTGTTGTTTTCAGGAAAGCCTGCAGGCCATTGTTCGGAGTCATTTGGGTCATTTGGGGTCATGGGCGTCTGTGGGGTCCCTGAAGCCAAAACATGGATGAAGCCACTTGGGAAGAGGGTGAAGAGCAGGCCGAAGGCTGTGGGGTGACCTGAGGGGGACAGTGCATGCAAGGGGCATGGTGACCACGAGGAGAACAGGAAGGAGACAGCGTTACGAGGGGAGAAGGGGTGGGTCACATCGCCTGGGAAGATGGAGCGGCCCAGAGGGACAGGCACAGTGTGGGCAGAGTCCTGTGCCGGGGCTCCTGATGACATGTGGGTGCTGCCTGCTGGGGGGGGGGGCGCGCAGAGGCCCAGCCGCCGCCCTCAGGTGCCTGGGGTCCCAGCGGGCTGGGCCTGAGCACACGTGGGCTCTGGCTCTGAGAGGCTCATTCACAGGCAGGCGCAGGGTCAGCACAGAAGGGGCCCCTCGGCCCAGGACTGAGTGGCCGTCATTTGTCCTTCAGAATGTGCGTCATTTCACTGATGTGCCCCTTCCTCTGCAGCTTACGCCTGTTCCAGAAGTTTGACACATTCCGAATTCTGGTCTGCGGTGGGGATGGCAGTGTTGGCTGGGTCCTCTCTGAAATCGACAGCCTCAATCTTCACAAACAGGTACCTGAACGTGGAGGGGCCCAACCCCGGGGAGAGAGAAGCCTTGCTCTCCTGGGGATGCTCCTCGTCCCCTGGGAGCACCGTTCCCCAGCAGGGACCAGCGAAGGTCCGGGGGAAGAGCAGGTAGCTCAGTAGCATCATGGGGCCGGGGCTGGGACACTGGCTGGGGCTGTGACGTAGGGACGGGCACGTCACAGCGAGAAGTAAAGGGAGCTGTGAAAAGAGCGTCCATTCCCGAAGCCCCAGGTTGGGGTCCGGTCTGGGTGGGGCTGCCATCCTGCTGCGCCCCCCGCCTGGTCCTTATTGGGTAGTCATGTCATCTACTGCCTGATGCCTCTTGTTTGCGAGGAGGGGACAGAAGTAGACTTGAACTTCAAGTCAGAGTTAGAGGCCCTTGGCCTTATTGTTTTTCTGTATTAAATTAAACATAGATTTTTCTGATTGTAAAAAAAGGTGTTCATTGATTTTCCACTTCCTGCTTCCTCTTCCTCCACTCGCCGTCCATAATTGCCCACTGCTAACACCGATAGCTGTGGCTCAGACCTCTCAGTCAGTGTGTATGGGGGACAATGCAGGCTTGAGTCAAGCGGGCTGGCGTCGCCATGCTGTTCCGTTACCGCACTTGACAGATCAGTGTGCTGTGGCGTCCGGCATTTCTTGGCAGTAAGTGGAGGTCTGCGAGGTGCTTCCTCACTGGGCGGCGCTGTGCCCGCCGGTGCCTGGCTTCCTCCACTGCTGGGCACTCAGGTGGCTTCCTAAACACAGCTCCGCTGAAATCCACGTGTGCGCCTGCCCCGCCTGCTCTCGTGCAGAGAGCACCCACACTTACAGTGTGATCTGTCCTGCCAGCCGCCTGCATCAGACTGTACCCATTTGATGTCCCGATGCTGCAAAAAACTGTCCTTTCCCACACGCTGTCCATTGCGCGTCTTTTTCGTTTTTGTCCAACTAAGACAAAAAAGTATGTTTTGTTTTTTATTAATACTGGTGAAGTCAACCACCTCAATTAACCACAAATTTTGAAATGCATCACCTGTTCATGCTTCTTGTCTAGATTTCTGTTGGGGCATTTACCTTTTGAAGAAATTGATTTCTCTGACTAACAGCCTTGTTGGTCATATTTTTCCCAGTTTGTCATTCGCTTCCATCATAACTTTTTCTTCAGATCTTTGCCCTGACTGGAGCGTATATTTCAGACTCAGCAGCCTCTTCCCACTCCAGTGCTGGTGGTCTTGTAGGTGGGGGGACTGTTTGTTGTCAGTGTTAGCGCCTGGCACCTGAATGGTGTGGGAAGGTGGAGGGGCAACTGCTCAGCTCAGCAGAGGCCACTTGCTCAGGAGAGAGCATGCTGCCCCCTAGTGGCGAAGCTAGAGCACTACACTTAGGTCCAGCGTTCAGCCTTGACTTCCAGGATGATCTATCTACAGTTCATTCTCAGTAGCCAGGAAGGCAGGCTTCACCCACTCAGCTGAGTTCAGTGACCACTTTTTTCCTTCGGATTCTCTGTGGCACTTGATCCTCTGGTCACCCCCTCCCCCGGCCTCCGTAGGACCCCGTCCCCCCGTCGGTGTTTCTCGTTTTCCTGGCTGCCCCTCCCACCTCAAGCCCTGCATTTCCAGCACTGAGCCCACTGCTCAGCCCCATGGGCTCCGCATTTCTTTCCTCAGAGCCTGAAAATGTCTTTCACCAGACGTCTGAGTCAGAGTCATGACAGCTGTTCTAGATTCTTCCCTCACTCTCGCTCCTCATTTCCAGTTAATTGCTGGGGCTCAGTCGTGCCACCCCGCATGCTGCTGACCCCGGGCCTCTGCCTGTCTGCTGCTCCCTGGGGCTGCCCCATGGGCGGCTCTGCTCAGCCACCCGCCCCGTCCCTGGAGCTTTCCTTGGTGGCCCGTTGGCTTTAGGATCAAGTCCAGACTTCGTGACACAGTTCACCAGAGCCCCCAGTTTGGCTTCTTCTTCCTTCTCTGCCGCTCGGACATCCTCCGTCCTCACTACCCTCCTTGATGGAGCTCTGGCTTGGCAGGAGGGCCACCTCCCCGGCTGGGCCGTTCCCGTGCCCGCACTCCACTGCCCCATGCCCCAAGGACGCAGCGCTGGGGTCTCTGCCTCGGGCTTGGGCTTCCTGGTCCTCGCCCTCCAGCTTGCTGCCTCCTTGGTGACCGTGGGCGGTGCAGTGTTCAGGGCCGTCTCCACACTGCACGTCAGAGTTGGAGACGGTGGGCTCTCAGGCAGCCAGTGTGTGGGGAGCCTCCTGAGCACTGGGGTTCATGGGGGCGGTGCTCTGGGGTGGGAATTCCGGCGGGGGGGAGAGGTGTGAGGCCTTAGCAGTGCATGGGGTCTTCGAAGTGGCAGGTGGCGGGGTGTTGGCAGAGCACTGGGCATGCTCGAGTTTGGTGGCCAGACGGGATACGCTGGTACCTGTTTTGATGGGACTTGGAAGCCAGTGAGGATGTTTTCAGGAGAGTGATGACACTGGTGATGTCTCTGGAAGATGGACTTGGTATTAGTGAATAAGATATCGTGGATAGAGAGACCGGTGGTGGGAGTCAGAATGGTTCTTCGGGGGTTCAGATACCAGACAGGACTGTGGCCATTAGCTGTGAAAATGGCAAGGAAGGGGATTTGAGAAATACAGATCAGAGAGATCCTAGAGGATCCCTAGGATCAAAGTGTGGCAGCAGATGAGACGAGGCGTCTGTCCGGCCTCATGGCTCTGCCTAGGATGTAAGCGCCACGCCTTGTGGAGCAGGCCTCACACTGAGTTGAGGCCCTGTGGTCGGTAGGCAGGAGGGGTTCAGGCCATGTCTTCCCCGCTGTGTTCTGCCAGTGTCAGCTGGGCGTGCTGCCCCTCGGCACAGGGAACGACCTGGCTCGCGTGTTAGGCTGGGGCTCAGCCTGTGACGACGACACGCAGCTCCCGCAGATCCTGGAGAAGCTGGAAAGAGCTAGCACCAAGATGCTGGACCGGTGAGTGGGGCCGCATGGCAGGGGCCGCTGTGCCACAGGCAGGTCAGCTCCGCCAGGTGTTCTTAGCCGGGATCTCTGGGAACCACAGGCTCTCTGCAGGGAGTGGTGAAAATTTGACCTGAGCAGGAATTCTTTTTTTTCTGGTAGTCTTTAACTTTTGATCAAGATTATGAAAAATAGCAAACAGAACAGGTTATGAGCTGTGCCCTAGAGTGGTCTGGCCTTCTCATGAAGCCAAGCCTGCCCCACTGGGGCTGTTCCAGGAGGTGGCTCTGTCCCCTTTGGCCATTGCAGCCTCACCTGATACCTGCCAGCAGAGCCCTCCTTTTTCATAGTTGAGCAAACCCCTTTTCCCATGTTGTGTTCCCCGAAGAATCTAAGCACTATATCCATCGTCTCTGTCTGAAGAGCCTTTGGCATCCATCTTGAGTGAACGAACACCTTTTAGCTCTGAGCTCTTGTCTGAATTCCCCACTCCCCACGGCCTGTGGTGTGGAGATGCCTCCTGTTCTCACCGGACTCTGTGGTTGCCATCAGCAGGTGCGATTTCGAACGCACTGTAGCTGCCCCACCATTTCTTCTCTGCTTACGGGAGGTGCTGCCCCTGGAGCCTGTGCCGTGCGCACACACGTCCTGGGGGAGCTGGCTGCCTGCTGCGGATGGCAGCTCTCCGGTTGGGGGTTCACTTCACCTCCCTCAGTGGAGCTGCACTCCCCTCCTGGTGTGATGTTTGTTCTCAGCCGTGTGAGGAGCCAAGTTTTGGGACATGGAGTCAAGCCAGAGGGCTCACAGATAGTTAGAGCTATTGTAAGAGCAAGTCCCCGGGCCCTGGGGGAGGGCAGGGCCTGCCCTGATTCCTGCAGCCGAGCTGAGCGCTGCCTTGTGTGCAGGTGGAGCGTCATGGCCTACGAGACCAAACTCCCCCGGCAGGCGTCCTCCTCCACCGTCGTCACCGAGGACTTCAGCGAGGGTTCCGAGGTACTTCCAGTTGTCCCCCTGCTCTCACGCCCTGCCCTAGGGTAGGCCCGCAGAGGTGCAGGGTCAGTCAAAGGTGGAGCTGGAGCCGCATGGACTCTGACCCACATCCCCGGCGGCTTTGGGGTCATCTGAAGGCTTCCCGGATTGTCACCAGGATGTGGGGTCCTTTGTGATGGCGGTCTCCTAGGACTTCCCCTCTCCCGGTGCACACCACTGGCCCCTCTGCGACCCCTGCACCTGCTGCCACCCCCATTTTCCTCCATGTCCCCAGCCTTTGCAGGTGGCTGTGCAAGCTCCGCGTTGAGCTCTGCTTTTCGTCCTGTGTTTATTTTTTGTGATATAACGGTTCCATGAGGCCTGGGCTTTGTTCTGCAGCAGCACAGTGCTGGGCACATAGCTGTGCCCGTCCGCACTGGGCGAGCTGGCTGCTGGCTGAGCAGGAGGATGAGAGCTCTCCCAAGGCTGTCTGCCTGTCCGGAGGGCTGAGGCCAGGGGCCAGGGCATGCTACGGCCCAGGCCTGCTTTCACATGGCTGGTCAGTGCCTCTTAAGAGAGGAAGACTATGTATGCAAAGCCTCAGAAATTTACTGTCTGGCTGATAGTAAAGCTTGCTGAGCCCTGGACTAGGGCCTAAAGAGGGGTCCATCACACGGGGGTAGCGCGCCCTTTTCAGCAGGCAGAGGTGAGAGAGAGAAAGACGGGCCGGGGCCAGGTTCCCAGTCAGGCAGAGAGATGTGCTGTGATGGGGCCTAAGTGAAGGAGCCCTGCCTGTGGGAACAGGTTGAAGATTGCAGCTCTCAGCCCAGGCGCGTCGTCGCGAATCTCGGGCTGAGGAAGCACAAGCGGTCTGTAAGTTTCGATTGACGTGTTCTTTGTTACACTCCGTCTGTCCACATCTTGCTGAAGCCTTTGGAACCTTTCAGATAGCACAGGCGGGTCTCAGATTTAGGGCCGCGAGCTGAGGCTGGGCTAGCGAGGCAGTGGGTGAGGACCCCACAGGCATGGACTGACAGTCACCCCGCCCTGTTTTGGGGTAATTGTAGGTACAGCAAATTCTCTTCTATGAAGACTCGGTTGCAGCTCATCTTTCTAAAATCCTGACCTCCGACCAGCACTCGGTGGTGATCTCATCGGCAAAGTGAGTGCTTGTGTGGCCCCCGGGGAGCCAGGGGACCAGCACGCAGGGCGCCGGGCTCCCAGCCAGAACTGTCCCTCTGGAAGCAGCTTTCCGCGTTTCCTCCGACAGAGTGCTCTGCGAGACAGTGAAGGACTTCGTGGCTCGAGTGGGGAAGGCCTACGAGGGGACGACGGAGAGCTCAGAGGAGTCGGAGGTCATGGCCAAGAAGGTCTGTCCGCTGGGCGCTGGGCGTGGGGTGTCCGGGCGGAGAGGCATGCCATCCCCTGCCCGTTGTTTCCCATCCAGTGCTCCGTCCTGAAAGAGAAGCTGGACTCTCTCCTCAAGACCTTGGGTGACGAGTCCCAGGCCTCGTCCTCTCTGCCCACCCCACCGCCCACCATCGCCGAGGAGACGGAAGATGGAGACGGGGCAGGCAGCGGCTGTGGCTCCACCGTGGACCGCCCGGTGGGGTCGGCGTGCCCAGCCCGGCCGCAGATATTCCGGCCTCGGGAACAACTCATGCTGAGAGCCAATAGCCTGAAGAAGGCGATTCGTCAGATCATAGAACACACAGAAAAAGGTAGCTGGTCTCTTAATAATGAGGTAGCCTTCTTCAGGCAAGCACTGGGCACCCCGGATTCTAGAAAGTGGAAGGCGGAGTCGAGAGGACGCCTCCAGCTGGTGAAAAGGTGCCTCACGCGGGAGAGACTGATCCCTGGAGAGGGCGCCCACTCCCTGGAAGGGTCCTGTCCTATGGTAACTGCCAGGTGTCAGCACAGCCCCTCAGGAGTGGGGGCAGCAGCGGATTGTGTCATGGGGCCTGTTGAGTCAGAGACGGGGCTGCCCCTGAGGGAGGGAGTTCTGAAGAGAGCTTGGCTGCTTAGAACTGACGTTTACTGAGGACACCCGGCCAGGAAGGCCCTGCGCTCGGGAGAGAGGTGGGCCTCAGCCAGAGATTGAGGTGAGGCCGTGAAGTCGATAGAGAGAGAGGCCGGACGGGGTACAGCTGCACGGAGGGGTTGGTGGCCGGGGAGCTGGTCAGAGAGCTGGGAGGAGCATGAGCACTGCGGGCTCAGTGGCGGAGGGCGCCCGGGGCCTGGGCAGGTCACTGGCCTGGCGACCAGGCTGCCAGTGCCGAGTGTGCACGATGGGCCTGGGGCAAGCAGGTGAGCGCATAAGATGAAAGACCCACTCGATCAGTCACTCCCTTTTTCTAGAGTCGGTTTGCTAAGCTTTGAAAACACAAAAACCACGCTGACCTGTGAACTTCATGGCCTCCAACCTCACTGGGACCCCCAGATCCCTCCTCAGCAAGTTTTTTCTTGTCCTTTGTCTGTCTTGTTTTTTTTTTATTGTTAGTTTCAGGTGTACAGAACAATGCAATAGTTATCATTTTCACCCTCACAAAGTGACAACCCCCTTACCCCCATCCACTGCCCTCCCACCCCCGATATCATGCTTATCTATTACAATTCCATTGACTCTATTCCACACTCTACTTCACATTCCGTGACTATATGTATATATAATTATAGTTGACATACATTATTATTCAACATCAGCTTCAGAAATGCAGTGCAGTGGTCAGGCCTCTACACCGACTATGAAGTGGTCTCCCTAATAAGACATGAATCCATCTGGCCCCCTAAAAAATATTTACATTATTGATTCTATTCCCCAACACTCTTTTCTATCCCTAAGGCCATATTGTAGTTACCAGTTTGTATTGTCTCGTCCCTTCCCCTTCTCCCTCATCCCCATCCCCTCCCAACTAGCAACCCTCAGTTTTTCCTCTGTGTCTCTGAGACTATTTCTGTTTACTTTGCTTGTTCATCCAGTTCTTTAGATTCCACATATAAGTGAGATCATATGGTATTTGTCTTTCTCAGTCTGACTTATTTCACTTAGCGTGATGTTCTCTAGGTCCATCCATATCGTTGCAAATGGTACGATTTCATTCTTCTTTTTAGCAGAGTAATACTCCATTGTATAAATGTACCACAGTTTCTTAATCCAGTCATCTGCTGATGGGCATTTCCTTGGTCTGTCTTCTCTCTCATTACCCTCAGGAACCAATTCATACCGTTCCACTTGCTTCAGACACTTTTCCAGCCCTCACCTTTTCCACCCTGGGCAGATCAGCCTGCGTCTTGCTTCAGTGACAATAGTCAGATCATGACCTCCCCCTACACACGCTGTGCACAGAGGGCCCTCGTCATGGCCTCCGGGCTGCTCTGGCCTGTCGCTCCTTCCCTCACCGTCTCTCTGTACCTTCTGGCCTCTTGGTCCCGCCCCCCCACCTGTTGGCACGGATGCTGGGGTGCCCGGTACTTGCCATGTGCTAGGACAAGGGGAACAGTGGGAACAAGGTGGGAACTTTGGGTCTAAGCTTTCAGCCAAGAGGACATTTGAAGATATATCAAACTGGGAGACGAAGAGGGGAGTCTGTTCAGCAGGAACCCCTTCAGCCTGGCACTGTCTGCGGGTCCATACCCACCGCTGAGCGGCAAACCTCCTTTCCTTGCGCAGCTGTCGATGAGCAGAATGCCCAGACCCAGGAACAGGAGAGGATTGTCTTAGGCCTCTCTGAGTCGGAGGAGAAAAAAGACCTGAAGTCGGATGACAGAGCGTGCCATGGCGACAGCTGTGGGGTTACCAAGTGCAGGAGCCTCCGCAAAGGTACCGGCCTGCGGGGTGCCCCTCGTTGCTGCCCTCGGGCCTTCGGGATACGCAGGAAGCTTGCCGAGGGAGGTTTCAGGGCGCCTTCTATCACTGCTTTGGCCACTTAGTATAAAGTCAGGACACTGGCCTTTCCATGCACCACCTGGTGTGTGCGCTCTGTCGGGGGCGGGGGAGGGGTGGAGCCTTGCTGCTGACGAGGTGCTCTGCCCAGAACCTCCCTGCATACCCCACACCCACAGGGCTCAGTGTGCATGCGAAATTCGCTCCGGCCAGAGCTGGCCTTGCCTGGCATTCTGGCCCGGAACCTCCCAGCCCCGTGGCCTGCCTGTCTGCCCGGGGACCCTTACCCTCCTGGAACAGTCCCCAGCTCAGGCTCTGGGTGGAGAATTGCCCCTCTCCACTGGCTGCCTGCGGCCCCTTCCTGTAGCTTGGACAGGCCACTGGCAGGCGTCTGTCTGAGGGTTTACTCCATGCTCACTGCCACTCGGAACTCAGCATGGGCTCTCACAGCCCTCGGGCCCCGCCCCAGCCACACCCTCTGTGGGCTGTGTCACCCTCTAGAGCGCATCCAAACCCATTTACCTCTCTGTCCCCCTTTCTTTATTTTGCCCACTCTACCTGGGACTGACCAGCGGCTTGTAACCCCTCCTCATGTCCCTCGACCCTTCCACCTGGCACTTTTCTAATGACCGCTCCCAGGAGTTCAGTCCTATTCCTTGTTGGACCACCTTACGGCTTTCTGTCCTGTTTTTATAGTGTCCAAATCCCCATGCGAGAAGCTGATAAGCAAAGGAAGTTTGTCACTGGGCAGCTCTGCCTCTCTTCCTCCCCAGCCAGGAAGCCGGGACAGCCTGCCGGCACTGAACACAAAGATCCTGTTCCCGAGTGAGTGTCCCCACCCCGGTGGGCCGGGGTTGGCAGTGCCAGCCCCGTGGCCAAGCCTGCCTGCGGGAGGGTGTCGGGCCCTACCTGCGGACCTGCGAGGTCCAGGGCCTGGCACTTGGCCCAGCACTGGGATTGTGGGAATGAATGAGACTGGGTCTCCGCAAGCGTTTATAGGCCCGTGAGGAAGTGGATGGGATTTTAGTTAGCTCATGGTGTGATGAGCGCCCTTATTTATTACAAAGGGCGGACAGCACCCCAATCGCCACCTGGGGACCCGTGAAGGTGTCGTGGAATAGGCGATACCTGAGCTGGGTGCTGAAGGATGAATAGGAGTTATCCTGAGGGAGAAGGGAAGGACAGACAGGCAGGTGGTGACAGGGACTGAGGGATCCTTCCACTGTTTCCAGCGTGATGGCAGCAGGAGCACAGCCGGCTGCCAGGAGAGCTGGGCCCAGAGCCTCTTGTCTTTCCTTGCGCTCGTTTTGCCCATGAGATACGGGGGGGACTCCTGTAGCGTCTTCCCTCCGGGGGAATCGTGACAATACTTGGTGTCCTCAAGGGAAGGAGTGGTACCAGGGGTTGAAATTGCCAATAAGACTCCCTTAACCAGCTTCAGCCTGGTTCCTGAGGCCTCCTGGCCACACCCTTTGCTCCTGTGAGTGATTTGGCAATTTCCAGTGAATCTCAACTGAACAGAAAGAAAATTCCAGAAGCCCTTGAGAAGTGAGGCTAATGCGAAGTATTTGGTTAATCATTGACAAAGATATTACTCGAAGGATGGGTTGGCAGAATGTTCAAAAGCAGGGTAATGCTTGATTTACAGATGTTAAATTGGTACACATCATGTAGCTCGAAGGTCCTGTTTCCCTGACTGTTGCCTGATGTTTATTTCCATGAATTCAGCCTTCTAAAGCTGTACGACTGGACTCGATAAGTTGTACGAAAATGTTATTTTGGTGGAGTTTCTTACACTTAATGAGAACTATCTTTATAAGCCCCTTTTTACCATTAGGTGTGTTGATTTGTCATAGGTGTTGATTTCTGTCACTCAATATGCTTATTTTTGTTCCATGAATATGCGTTGATGATGGTCATTTTTGAGTAGACTATTAATTGTCAAGATTTGGACATGTTTATACATAATTTTAGAAAAGTTTCAGTACAGTGTTCTGAGGAACGTGTCTGCCAGCCTGGAAGACACGAGCCGCTTGTCACTCTGTGGCTGCTGACCAGGGCCGTGTCCTCCCGTTGCAGATGTTCGGGCTGGAATGTCCGGCTCCTTGCCTGGGGGTTCAGTCATCAGCCGCTTGCTCATTAATGCCGATCCCTTTAACTCCGAACCAGAAAACCTGTGAGTATGGGGTGAACCAAGTGGGCACGTTGTTAAAAGAATACTGGAGCGTAGAAAACAGACCCGAGTTAGAGAAGCTCGGGAACAGTTGACTAGGTGATCGGAAATCGTGAAACGTCCGCTAGAGCGGGGGAACTCCCTGCGGGGGCGGGGCCTGTCCTGGTGCCCGCAGCCCGCACACGGCAGTGTCTTCTGATGTACCTCACTTTCCGAGGTTTTTGCCAGATTCAGAAACTCCTGCTGGGAACTCACTGCAGGTGTGCTTGCTTGTCACCTCTGAATTGTCACTCCGCCCATGTTGGTGCCACTTCCTGACGACCTGCCTTCTCCCTCGTGCCGTTCTACCTTCCTGCACGGTCTCCCCCATCACTACCTCAGAGTCCAGGCTCCTGTGCTGGACGATCATTGTCCCCTGGGGAGGGACATTCCGATGCTGCTCTGTGCCAGGCCCTGAGGCGGTGAGGACGTGGTACAGCAGTGCTGGTGGCGTCTCATGTGTGGAGGCCATTGCGGAGACGGATGGTGTTTTGAAAACGCGTTCTTTCAGGGTTTGCTTTCTGGCGGCTGACAGCAAGTGCTGGGCCGCTGGAGGCTGGTGGCAGTTAGTGAAAAGTTGCCAACCACTTGTCTGGTGTGGTGGGGCAGAGTAACAGTGAGAAGTGGACAGTTGACAGAAACGGGGGGTTCGGGAAAGCAGAGCTGAAGGCGTGCGGGGCGGCAGCCGTGCCCGTTTGCCAGAGAGAAGGCGGCCTCGCCTCAGACACCTGCTGCCAGGTGCTGGCCTGGCCGGTACCTCAGCAGCCCGTCTCGGACCTGACACTGCTGCCCGCTTTCTGCTCCTCCCAGGCTGTCTGGGTTCTGGTCTTGACCTTCCAGAGGTTTCCTAAAAATGCTGGAGCTGTCGTCCTTCTGTGAGCAGTGCCCCGGGACCCTGCTCAGTGTTCGTTTTGTCCTTCACCTGACATCACTAAGGTTCCACATCCGCAGCTGCGGCTGTTTGTCTCTTTTCCTCCTGTCCTCTTCAGACGGGAGGACACAGAAGCTGCTCTTCTCCCTCCACCCGGGGTGGCGTGCCGGGCGTCACCAGCACCCCAGCACTTCTGCCGTTCCTCCTCTGCCTGCGATGGCCTCCTGGAGCCCAGCCTCTCCACCCCCTGCCATGCCGTTTCTCTGGCTAGGACCCCTATCTCTCCTCAGGACCTATAAGTACTGGGGAGCACATGGTCTTCAGCTGAGAGCAGTTTTGTCCCAGAGCTTTGCTCTCATCCAGCTCTTAGGCCTTTGGAGTGGATGCGTCATAAGAGCATGGTGATTGCTTTTTGGGTCAGGTTGCAAAATCCTGTTGACCTAAAGTGCAGCAGAGTTCTGGTTCAAGCCGTAGTCTCGAGCCCACCGCCCTATGACTTTTCGGGGAACTTCCACTACGACGGCCTGGGACACTCTTTCTCCTTGGCATCCTCTGGGTGGAGGGTCAGGGGCTGCTCCTTTCGCCCACCTGTCCTGGAGGGGAACCAGGGTCCTCAGAGCCCCAGCTGTGACCCCAGCGGCCATGATAATGGGAGCATTTGGCTCCACAGCAGGAGGGTGAGGGCTGGGGTGAGAAGCCGGGATGCAGTGAGTCTTACCAGCAGAGGGCCTGGGACAGGGAAGCACGTGGCCACAGGGGCTGGGATGGATGCTTCAGATTTGAAAACTGCGTTGATTGGCTCTAGGGGTGTGTGAGGGTCCCTTTGAGATCCAGAGTTCAGGCCGGTGTGTGTCTGTGTGCCGTGGAATCGGGCGTGATGTTGCTGATGGGAACGCGAGACGGAGCAGCTGCTTTGGGAAACGGCCTGGCGGGTCCTCAGAACCTAGGGTTTCCACGTGGCCCAGCAGTGCCGCTCCTGGGATAGGCCCAAGAGAAATGAATCACACATCCACGCTAAAGTGTGTGCACAACTGTTCACAAACCCTGGCCCTGAGTGAAACAGCCCAGATGCCCCTCGCTGATGATGGTTGAGCAAAATGGGGGCCTCACAAGGGGCTGATATTGGGCCGTTAGAGGGGATGAGTACCGAACACGGATGAACCCTGAAAACTGTGCCCAGTGAAGGGAGCCCGATGTTGTGTGGTCCCACTTATGTGAAATGTCCAGCAGAGGCAGATCCATGGAGATAGGGAGCACATCAGTGGTTGTGCGGGGCTGGGGAGGGGTTGGGGCTGATGGCTAAAAGCTTCCTTTTGGGGGTGATAAAATGTTCTGAGATTGATTGTAGTGATGGTTACATGAGTCCGTGAATGCATTAAAAATCACTGTATTGTTTATTTTGAATGGGTAAGTTATATGGCATGTGAGTTAATTCTTAATAACGCTATTACCAAAAAAAATGCTATGACCTTTGCCCTTGGGAAGAAACGCTTGGAGGGTAGAATGCTGTGAAGTGAAACGGCTAATAAGCAGGTTGCTGTAATTGCCCCCAAACGCCCTTTGCAGCGAGTACTACACAGAGAAGTGTGTCATGAACAACTACTTTGGCATCGGCCTGGATGCGAAGATATCTCTGGACTTCAACAACAAGCGTGATGAGCACCCGGAGAAGTGCAGGTGGGTGCCGCCCGGGCCCTCACGTCATCCTTTCTCCTTCCTGGGGGCAGGGGAGGTAACTTGCAGAGTCAGAGGGTGAGGGACTGTGCGGAGTCCTCAGGCAGAAGGCAAACGCCAGCCCAAACGCCTTGTGTCAGAAAGTGGAGGTGCTTTCACAGGTGTGGGAGGTCCAGGGGGCCAGCCTGGAGGAGGCTTCCACTAGGGTTGGCCACCGCGGGGCAAACTCAGCTCGTCGACCAGAACAGGCCGAGTCTCAGAGTCGTAAATCTTTGGGGTTGCTGTAAAGGGGCAAGTAACAAAGTGTGCCGAGAAGGTTCTGTGGCAGAGTCCCCAGCATCGTTGCTGTGTTCATCACACCAGCTGTCACCCTTAGGTGGGGTGGGCCCACGAGAACACACCCTCCGCAGGAAGGTGGCCACGTGAGAGGTCCCGAGGGCTTTCGCTGGAGATGTTCAGTTTCTCCCCCTGAATTACCATCTCTGTGCTCCTCCCTGCCTGGAGACAGGATGGAAGAAATGGGGAGCTTTCCTTCTGGGCTAAAGTAGAAATTCCCTCTCCTCTGTGGAAACCTGAGAAGTGTAGAGTTAATGCCTCCTGCTCCCCTGTACCCCACTACCTCCTAGAGGAAGAGACTGCTCAGCTCTCACGTCCTAGGAGCGTAGAGAGGGGAAGCTGGTACACAGTTGTGCAGAAAAGAGTCACTGACGCAGGCGTCAGGGGGCCCGTGTGCCCCTGCGTGCTGCCACTGTCACTTGGAGAGAAGCCTCCGGGGGGCTGGGTGGGAGGAAGTCACACTCACACCCAAGGAGATGTCCCCGTTTTGTGTAGTTGGATGTTTGCTGGGAAATAAAATCACGCCCAGGAACTCCAAAGCCTTTGAGCTGTGGGGCTTTGTGTGGAGAATGGCTCAGAGGTGCCTGGCACACCCTGGTACACAGCCGCTGGTGGTGAGCCCGTCATTCACAGTGTCCCGTTTGGCCCAGAAATAACTGAAAAGGGCATTAAAATGCACAGAATTTAGCAGAGTGAAATACATGAGGGGCAGGGCTGTGAGTGACACATTTTTAGAACCTTTGGACCCTGGTAGAACCTTCCCTGAGTTGCATCGCGAGCTTTGAAAAGGTCTCCCTAGAAGAGTTCCAGTTCTACAAATCTGTCCCAAAGAAGTGACTGGAAACATGGGCAGAGGGGCCACTGCTCCGTAATTTACAGAGCTCGGAGTGGGAACAAAGCACATCCAGTCAAAGAGGTTCATTCAATAAGTGACGTGGGGAAGTGTCCCCCGGAGATCAGCCATGTTCGGGACACGGGGGAAACACAGTGAGTCAGGGCGCTCGGGCCGGTTATCTCACCTGTAAACCTCACGCTGGAAAAGACAAGGAAACAGAGGCATGCAGATGTGGTGATTCCGGAGGTTTTTTCTTTTTTTCTTTTTTTTTTTTTTAAGCTGAGCCATCCTGCTACCTGTTGGCAGCTCAGCGGCTGCTCAGCTCGGGCTGGACTCGAACCGCTGTTGCTCAGAGCTCAAACTCTTGAGCGAGCTCTTAACCAACTGAGCCACTCGGCCGGCCCTCCGGAGGTTTTTTTCAAAATCCTTTGTGCTGTTCTGTGCTTTCCAAATTTTTCTATGGTAAGCATAATTTTAGCCAGAAAAAAACCATGATTTATAAAGTTTAGGTGAGGTTGTCGTGCCTTCCCTTTCTTACCTTTCGGGGCGTGATTACTTTCTTGGGGAATACTATTTTCTAGCAGGATTTCCTGTTGGTAAACGCACCTGTTTCTGTGTATCTTATGTGGGTACCTAACCGGAACACGTCTGTCCCCGAGGTGTCACCGCTGTAAGGAATTGCTGAGTCTGACCTGTTTGATGCGGTGCCATCCCCACACTGCAGCAGCGACTGGACTTAACTGTAGAAAGCAAGCCACGGCCCTTGTCAGCTCTTTGCTTTCCATCCCCAGGAGTCGAACCAAGAACATGATGTGGTATGGGGTTCTCGGGACCAAAGAGCTGCTGCACAGAACCTACAAGAACCTGGAGCAAAAGGTGCTGCTGGAGGTGAGCGGGGCAGGTGTCGGGCCCGTCTCCCCGTGGACTTCCGGCCTTTGGCCCCTCGGTGGGAGCCCAGCCGCCGGCCGTTGCCGCCTCAGCCCCGGGGGTGGATCGCTAGTGGAGAAGGACTGGTTGACGCCCTGTGTGTCTTTTTTTTCCCTTGTCCTGCGTTTCCACTGCTCAGTGTGACGGGCGGCCCATCCCACTCCCCAGCCTTCAGGGAATTGCTGTCCTCAACATTCCCAGCTATGCCGGAGGGACCAACTTCTGGGGGGGCACCAAGGAAGATGATGTACGTACAGGGGTGCTGGGTGACGTGGGCCTGAGCTCAGGGAGGGGTGGCGTAACCAGAGAGTTAGCCCCTTCAAGGAGCATCAGCCCCTTTGGGTCCTGACAGAACATCAGCACTGGGGGTGCTTTGCCAGTGGTGCAGAGGGATGGAGGGACACCTCCCTGGTGCTGGCAGTGGGGGTACAGCGGAGAAGAAGGAGGCCAGGCAGGACAGGTGGCCAGAGGCACAGCTGTGCCGCAGAAGCTGGGCCCAACCCTGACTTCGGGAAACCTGGCAAGGCTTCTCGGAGGAGGGGACATCTGTGTTGAGACCTGAGGATGACTTGGGGTTGGCCAGGTCAGGTGGGTGGGGGAGGCTGTTCCAGGCAGAGGGCACAGTGGATGGGAGGCTTAGCGGCCAGACAGTGTGGCGTGGGGAGGAAGTTTGCCCAGTGTGCACACGGCAGGCGGGTGCAGCGTGCAGAGGAGTTAGACCTCACTGAGCTCGTGGGACCAGGGAAGAGCTCGGGGGTTTGTGCTGAGAACTGGGAGGCAACGACGGCTTTTAACCAGGAGCACGGCTTCCTTTGCACGTGAGAACTAACCAAAATAGTTTACACAGTACGCCTACTGTGTGCTGGTCGCTGTTCTCAGTCTGTGCACATAGTAACTCCACCCTCATAACCACCCCTTGAGGAACACACCAGCGTTAGCCCACCTTATAGATGAGGAATCCTTCAGGAACTTGCCCAAGGTCACACGGCTCCTAAGTGGCGGAGCTGGGATTTGATCCCCCACAGCTGGTTCCAGGATCTTAGAAAGGGGTCCTTCAGCTAGGACACATCCCCTCATAGCGGGCCTGTGTGCTTTACCAGTGCTGAGCCCACTGCATGTGGGGACATTGGTTTCCCCACCAGCTCTGACGCAGGGTCAGCTGTAACGTGGGGGTCCGCTCTGACTTCAGGGTCTGCTCTGACCCTGGGGTCCGCTCTGACCCTGAGGTTTGCTCTGACCCCGCTGTTTCAGACCTTTGCAGCTCCGTCGTTCGATGATAAGATCTTGGAGGTGGTCGCTGTGTTTGGCAGTATGCAGATGGCTGTCTCTCGGGTCATTAAGCTGCAGCATCACCGGATTGCCCAGGTACTGGCCATGGTCCTGAAGGTGGGAGGGACCTGGGAGACGTTTGGAGAGGCTGGGTTTGCCCCAGGAGCATGGCGCTGCCTTCTTAGGCCAGAGCCCCTTCTCACCCACCTAATGGACAGTTAAAACATACTCTTTCAAAACTGGGGCCGACTTGCTCCCTGCCCTGATTTGCCCTGTGGGTACCACCTGTGTCCTGCCCCGTCCTGATGAGATGGCACAGGCCTGGCCTGGCCTCAGCCCCAGCCCTGTGCCCACAGCTGTCAGAAGCAGCAGCCTGAGCTCAGGAGTGGAGGCTAGGTGTATGTGGTGGGCAGAGAAGGTCTGGCCTCGCCCGGTTGCTCTGAGGCCCAGCTGTGGGGCGGAGGCCAGGAGGGCGCCCCCATTACTTGGTTCTGGTGATGGGTTGCCTTTCTGTGGGTTGGGGAAGGTGGTGCTCTTATGCACAGAGACCTGGGACAGCAGCTGACCTGAGCCCCAGGCTGTGGTGTCCATCCCTTCCTGCCTGTCTGTCCCCACAGTTGGCTGCCTGAAGTGACAACTTTAACTCCAGCAGCATTTTTTGTTGAAAAGGGAAGCATCCCATTGTTAACCACTTGCTGGCCATTTGCTCTGTTCTGGGCGTGTTGCATGTATGCAGGGACCCAGGGCCCTTGGGAGATGGGAGTCCCCGCTCTGGGCCCGGCACTCGTGTTTGAGTCCCCGCTGCGGTCACAGATACAGTGCTGGGCGAGGGGACGGTGGGTGGGGGTGCTGGACACGGATGCCCTGACTGCGGGGTCGGCTGTGGGTGTGGTTGCCCCCGAGGTCAGCTGTGTGTGCGGGGTGCATAGGACAGGAAGGCTGCAGGGCAAAGACTGCTGTCGGGCTCCTTGGGTCAGCCCGGGGCACGAGTAACGGCTGCCATGTTTGTTCAGTGTCGGACAGTGAAGATTGCCATCCTGGGGGACGAGGGCGTGCCTGTGCAGGTGGACGGAGAGGCCTGGGTGCAGCCTCCAGGCTGCATTCGGATCATCCACAAGAACCGGGCACAGATGCTCACCAGAGACCGGGTAAGGGCCGCTGGGGGCTCCCGGGCCCCTTCTGCGAGACCTTGCAGCTCTAATGCTTTGTTCTAGGAGTTTATTCTTAAGACACAAGGATTAAGCTGACGTAGTGGTAATTCCTGGGCCCATTCCTCCTCCCCAGTGTAGGAAGGACTTCTGCCTCTCCCTTCCCGCCCTCAGCCTGCTGCCCCACTCATGACTGTCCCGTTAGAGGCGAGCGGTCGGAGCTGTAACGCTGGTTCCCGCGCCCTAGGCATTTGAGAACACCCTGAAGTCCTGGGAGGACAAGCAGAAGTGCGAGCTGCCCCGCCCGCCGTCCTTCTCTCTGCACCCGGAGATCCTGTCCGAGGAGGAGGCCACCCAGATGGACCAGTTTGGGCAGGCGGCGGGGGCCCTCATCCACAGGTGGGGCTCGCCCTCCCCCCAGGTTTCAGCCTGCCCACGCCTTTGGGTTATTTCCACACACGTCTCTCAGAAATTGCTCGGAGTTTACATAGACAGGAGCTGAAAACCCACAGGCGTTTCCAGAGCCAGATCCCAGACCTGGAAACCTGCCCTGGACTCCTGAGAACTGTCCACTTCCTGCTTCCGTATCACCCCCAAGGGCAGATTTGCTCTCTGCTCTTATAGTTAAAAAAAAAGACAACAGCCAGAGGCATTTCCTTCTTTTATTCCTGGAGCCACTGTGGACCTCCCAGCAGGGTGGTCCGCGCTCTGCCCACTGTCCTCCCCCACCCGCCTGGTGTGTCTGCCACCGTGTGCCTCCCTCTGGCAAGTCAGCCTCAGCCTGGTGCCCTGTGCCCCTCAGCTGCACGCCCAGTGCCTGCAGCTGCGGCTAGGTCCTGTCTCGCTGCACTCCACCTTTCTGCCTCAGCGTCCCCCTGAGGCTGCACGCTGGCTGCCCCTTTGGGCTTCTGTCTGGCTTTCCCGTCCTCATCCCTGGGCGAAGCACTGCTGTCCCACAGTTTCTGGGCTCTGCAGCCGTCACGTGCTCTCCCCAGGCAGCAGGCCCTCAGCCAGTAGGCGGTAGCCGTCCTGAGTCCCTCACAGGCATTCCTGGTTCATTGTGCCCATGCTGGCTCTGTCCTTCCCCACGAGCATGTCCTGTGCCCTGCGTTCTCCATGTCAGGCAGCTGGCACCACCTCTGCCCCCGGGCCTCCCACCAGCCTTCTATTACCAGATCAGTAAACAGGCCTTTGCTAAAATGGCTTTGCTTCTGAACTATTGGTCCAGTTCCTTGCTGGGCAGCAGGCTCTGGCTGCCGCCTGTCTTTGTGCTTGTCCCCTCCCAGCTGGTGGCTGCCCCAGTGGCCTGCTGGGAGGGGGGACTTGCCGTGGCAGTGCCCTGTCTAGTCCGTCCGCAGCCCCCATTGTCCCCAGACTCAGGACAGGAGCTCCCCACTCCAGCTCACCCCAGCGGGCTTCCCTGCCTTGTGCTTGCCTTCTGTCCCTGGTCCCCTCATCGTGCCCTGAGTCTTGTACGTGTGTGGGTCCCTCGGCCAAGGGGCTGCTGCCTGGGGCCATGTCGCGGGCCTGAGCCGTTTGTTTAAGCTGGATCGTCCCCGTCATAGGAGGGCTCTGTCACCCCTCTTGCAGGGCGGGGCAGACACAGTCCCCTTCCAGGAAAGGTCAGGCCTGCAAGCCGTGCTCCTTGCCAGTTGGCCGTTTTATAAGGTGTAAGTCTCATCGGGGGTATTTTCTTCCCTGATCGAATTTCTAGAAAAACTTGGATGTTGATGTCAGATTTTCCACGTAAAACCTCCTCTGTTGGTCAGGAAATGATTGACAGGGCCATTCTGTGCTGGTCATCGTGGCCGAGCCATGGTCCGCGTTGGCCCTCCGGGCGGAACGTGGGCTTGTGTTCTGGTGAGGTGAGGCTGCAGGCCGCCCTTCACCTGACCTGACGAGTGCCGTGTCCCCATTCTTCCAGCATCCGGGAGATTGCTGAGTGCCACCGAGACATGGAGCAGGAGCTCGCGCACGCCGTCAACGCCAGCGCCAAGTCCATGGACCGAGTGTACAGCAGGCCCAGAGCCACGGAGGTGCCTCCCCTTTCCGGTCTTGCTCCCCGGGGCTCGTGGCGCCCTTGGGCCTCCTACAGGGCATCTGTTCTGATTCCTCTCAGGGGCTGAACTGCAGCTTTGTCCAGGAAATGGTGAACAACATCAAGGCGCTGCGCAGCGAGACGGAGCTGCTGCTGGCCGGGAGGATGGCCCTGGTGAGCTGCGGGGGCGGCAGCGCGTTTTAGAGAATTCCCGGCCTTAGGCATCTAGACTCGTTGTTGAGAGGTCTCAGAGTTCCTGTGACCTGACCGTGTGGTTGTTGCACAGCCCCTCTGGCCGCATCTCAACCACGTCACCTTTAGCGTGTCAGATTCCCGTGCGGAAAGCACTTTGTCATTGTAGACGAGTCTCCCTTAGTTAGACACCCACAGTGGGGCCCATCTGCCTGTGGCCTTGTTCCCAGGCAGCAGTGCTTGTCGCCCGTTCTCACTCAGCCCTGCGATCCTGGCTGAGGAGGCGGCACAGGGCCGCATGCCAGGGAGAGGGTCAGTGAATCACAGAGGCTGGACTAGGGAAGGCTCAAGAGATGGCGTGGCCAAGGGGGTGAAGCTGCGTGCTGAAAGTCGCCCGTCTGGGGGCCGCCCAGAAGTCTAGTTCTCACACCCCCTGCTCTGCCTTCCAAAATACCATGCTGTCCTGACATGGCACGGCTGCTGCCTTAGCCGCCTCAGCACTTCCTGTCCTTGGTGCAATTGGCTGGTCCCATCCCCGTTTCCGACAGAGCGTCCCCAGGCAAACTGAAGCAGGTGAAGTGTCAGCCCTGCGAATGGTTTTTGGATAAGCTCGGTTTGCTCCATTATTTATGAAAGGAGAGCTTAATTCTGTCACCTGATGTTACTTAGAAGGGGAGGAGCAGCGGGCCCCTTAGCCAGTGTTCTGTGACTCAGTTTCCACGGGGGCTTTTGTGAGAACTCTGTGAGGATCCCAGCCCGGGGCCGACCTCATGTCTGCACAGCGTGTGCCTGTCGCCGGGGCCCCTCACGCTAATAAGCGGCGTGTCTCTCTCCCGCCCGCCGAGCAGCAGTTGGACCCTCCGCAGAAGGAGCGGCTTGGGGCTGCCCTCGCCGAGATGGACCAACAGCTCAGGAAGCTGGCGGACACCCCCTGGCTGTGCCAGCCCATGGAGCCCAGCGATGAAGAGGTATGTGGTCACTTCTGCCTGGGCGCCTCTGGCTGTCCCTTCAGTGCCTGTATTCAGTGTGCTCCGTGCAGCTTTGGGATTAAAATGGGGTCAGTCTTGTAGCCCCTGAAACGGCTTCTCAAGACTTTGTTCAGATGCTCAGGGCGTGGGGAGAAACTGGCAGGAGGAAGGAGTGGAAGCTGGCATTGAGAACACCCTGAGGACAGTCACGTGTTGTCCTCGGAAGCAGAGCTGCGGGCTGACCAGGAAATAGGTAGAAAGAAGGCGGGGCCCAGCCTCGCTGTTGGGCCCCATGTACAGACACATTGGCGGTCAGACAAATAGCAGCTTCTTGGAAGTTTGTTTCTGACAGGGACAGGGTGGGTGTGTTTGACTCACAGTCCCACCTTCCTTTTACACGTGTTTTAGAGACCCAGCTTGCCACAGGCCCTATAGCTGGGACAGACAGGACCCTGGCATATTGCACCCTGTGATGTAGTCACCTCCTTCCTGCACAGGACAGCAGGCAGGAAGAGCCCACGGGAGGCGCTTGTTGAATGGTCAGTTTTCATGCGCAGTGTCTGGGCAAAGGCAAACCCTAGACTGCCTTCCTCTCAGGATAGAGCAGAGTGGACCAGGAGAAAAGTTCACCTTAGGGTGACACGTCTCACAAGATAACCGCTAGACGCTAAACAGTGGGCACTTCTGCTGCCAGCTTGGTTTGTTAGAACCTGTTAGCAGCAGCAGGGTGAGGGGACAGAAGAGGGGCCACCAGCAGCCCAGTCTCCTCGTAATACGCAGGCATTTGACAAACATCCAAACCCCGTGCAGAAAACCAACTCACTCCTTCCAGCTAGGCAACAAGACTCAACAACTTAAGAATGAGGACATTTCGGTATAAAAGGACAGGCCAAGCTCATCACAATTGGTTAAATAGTTAATTATAAATGTAGTAAAACTTTTGCTTAGAAGAAAATTACTAAAATAATATGTAAAACATTGGACAGATGTAATAGTAACATGGCCCTGTAATTCCAGCTTAAATCATCAAAGCCTGAGGGTGGACAGTGAGCGGGGGAGGCTGGGACGAGGACATGGACAGAGGGATGAAAGCGCATCACATTCCGCCTCTGAAAGCGGAAGAAGGGTAAAAGCAAAGCTCTTGACTTTGATAATTAGGGAAATGTAGAGTCAGTAATGTTTTTTAAAAACTTAAAGGTAGTTTCCAGTAGAATTGAAAAGATTTGTGTCTTTCCAAATCACTACAAAAGACAAAAACAAAATAGAGTCTATATTGTAAAAGAAAATGAGGGACTCGGAAAGATGTAGCTAACAACAAAAAGATACGGTAACAGAAAATGATAGAATGGATTCCACTCTGTAAAGCAGATTATTCTCAGATTGTGTTAACATAAAAGAACCTAGTTTTGTCTCCCATGCTCCCAATAAAAACTTTGAATACAAAAAGATTAAAATTAAACAATTTCAAGAAAACACAATTAAAAAATTTCAAATGAACAATATTAACAAAAAAATAGAATTGCATACCTAGGGCAATAAATGATAAGGGGACCGACCACTTTATATTGGTAAAATATAATAGTTTTATAATAATAAAATTTACTTTTTGTCTTCTCGAGCTATCTGTCAATTACTATTGAGCTATCTGGCCGTGAAGGTAAACGTCTCAATTTATCTGTGATTTTTGTGTGTCTTTGCTTTAGGTGTTTTGAGGCTATGTCATTGGGTGCGTGTAGGTTTTATTATTATGTAAATAATAATAGTCATTCATTTTATTTTCAAGTCTACTTATTTGGTATATTATTTTTCCCGCTTTTACTTTCGAGCTTTATTTGGAGTGTCTCTCTTATAAACAGCAGATTGCTAAATGTTGGATTTTTATCCGGCCTAGTACTCTGTTTTAATGGAAGACTTCAGTCTATTTACATTAATGATTCATATTATCAGTGATTACTAATATATTTAGATATACTATTATCCTATTTTATGCTTTCTATTTGCCCTACTTTTTGTTTTGTTTTTTTGATTTCTCCTTTTGGATTGATGACTCTCTGCTTCCTCCCACACAATTCTGTTTGTCTGCCGCTGCAGTTTGGGAATGTACACTCTCTTTTAGTGATTACACCCAAAATTTTCATTTGAATTTATATGCATAAAATAATGAAATGAGAGAAAGTGACAGAAACCAAATTGTGGTGTGAGCCATCACTATCATCAGTCCATGATAAATCAAACCATATCACAGCATCTGAACAAAAGAAGGTTGAAAGAATATATATATATTATATATATGTTATATATATAATATATACACACATATATAATATATACACACACATATATATAACATACGTAGACTATATATGCACAAATGTATCATGTTTCTCCATAGAGAGAATTTTATACTCTGTAAGGAGGGAATATGTTTTCTGTTATCCACAGGACATTTTCAAAATCTGATCATATTCTAAACCAGGACTACTGATAGTAGGAAGCGCTATATTCTCATAGAAATTGCGAGGAAGAATTTAGAAACGTCTAAACAATCGGCAGTTTGCATGTCCTTTCTGGTTTCATTTTTCTAGTAATTGATCACATTTCATTAACATCCAGCCCACTGTGGACGGGACATTTTAAAGCTGGTTCTTTCCCAGGGGTGGTTTGGATAGCACAGCCCTGGGGCACAGTGAACCTCAGATACTTACTGAAGGTGGGACTGCCCGCCCTCAGCTGTGGCCCCTTGTCCCCTGCCCTGCCCTGCCCAGGTGGGCAGCTTCCTTCTGCACACACATTTCCTCTGAAGATGGATGGAGGAGCTGCTGCCATGGGAGGCTCGCACCCTGGGGCCTGGTTGCAGGGTGACCAGCCATCCGGATTGTTTGGGACTGATTGTTCGGCCTTAGTACTCGGAGCCCAGGGATCGTGATTCCAGTGCTTTAAGCCTAAAAATGTTTCCAAAACGACCATCCCAAAATGCCGTGAACACACAAACCCGCACAAGTGCCCCCCGGCTGTCTGACCTGATGGGTCCCTGAGCCAAGTCTAGAGCAGCTCTGGTTCCTGGGGTTTCCAGATGTGGGCTGGGGGGACAGTGCAGGTGTTCGTTCTTGCAGGAGTAGGTGGGAAATGGTACAGGTGGCGCGCAAGCAGATTTGATTTCAAAAACCCCAAACCCTCTGCAGGCAGCTAGGGCAGCGGATGCAAGGTCTGGGGCCGGAAATCACAGCCAGGTATTCTGGGAGGTAGGGGGGGCCGTGCTCCCTCTGCTGGTGCCGCCTTCAACTCCCATCCATGCAAGGGAAGAGATGGGGGTGAGGTCCACAGGGCAAGAGGCCTCTAGTGCAGCGGTTCTCAACCTTCCTAATGCTGCGACCCCTTAATACAGTTCCTCATGTTGTGGTGACCCCCAACCATACAATTATTTTCATTGCTACTCTATAACTGTAATTTTGCTACTGTTATGAGTCGTAATGTAAATATCTTTTTGTTTTCCGAGGGTCTTAGGCGACCCCTGTGAAAGGGTCGTTTGACTCCCAAAGGGGTCGCGACCCACAGGTTGAGAACCGCTGCCTAGGGCATGGTGCTGCGTTTCTACTCGCATAAAAATAGGAAATTCATTTATTTGAAAGCAAAAAAAAGTAATAAATGTATGAGCTGGTTCTTTGAAAGTAAATAATTAAACGACCCTCTGGCAAATACAATCAAGAAAAAATGAAAAAAATGAAGTGATGAAAGGAATGTTACAGTAGATGAGAAAGTAAGTCAAATTATAATCAAAGAAATGCTAATGAAGTTTAAAATGTTGATGAAACTTGATTTTTCAGGAAAAAGAAATTATACAAATTGAAATCTGAAGACATTTTAAAAGTATAGCCACAGAACAACTTGGAAAAATAATCTAAATATTACCTTCAAAGGAAAAATGTCAAGGAATATGTAATTTCCATATATAAGAAACAATATCAAAGCCAGAAAAAGATGGACATTGTCCCAATTCATTTTTTTAAATTGTAAAAAACATCTTTGTCATTTGTAAGCGTACAGTTCAAGTCATGTTAAGTATATTCACATTGCTGTGAAACAAATCTCCAGAACTTTCCACAGTTCATTTTTAAAAACTAGCACATTGATCCAAAATTCAGTATTATCAGTAGATCCATACAAATCATAGCTGATGAAAGAAATTCTTTTTAAAACAATTCCAGCGGGAAGGTGCAGAGGACTAAAAGGCCATTCATTCTGCCTCCCCTGGGGAATCGCCGTAGGCAGGTCCTGGGTGGGTGGGAGCGTCCTGGTGGGGAAGCAGTGGGCCAGCCCGGTGACATCCTCGTGCCTAAGAGTGTGAAGCTGGGTGGCACTGGCCTGGCCATGTCCCCAGCAGCCCACACCGGGTGGGAGGAGCCAGGACAGCCACACGCAGGGAACCGTCAGTCAGAGCCAGGAGGTCCGCGTCCTACAGGATGGACGCCGGGTTCTCTGTGGGAGCAGGAGAACAGGGCACGGAGCTCGAGGGCTGCGCTCACTTGTGGCCCTCGTCCGGGCCCTGATTCAGACAAACTAACTACGAGGATAAAGAGTTCAAGCTGCTGGGGAGATGTGAGATACGTGAGTTCATTCAACATCCATGGATTTTGGTGGTGGTGTCAGTGTGATAACGGCGCTGTGATTCTGTTTTAAAAGGCGTTCTTGTTGCTCAGAGTTGCTTACTGAAGTGTTCATGGGTGGCATAATTTGGCATCTGAAATTTGTTTATTTTAAAAGGCGGGAGAGACAGATAAAACATGTTGATACTCAACTCCATCTTATGAATGGATGAAAATGCCCACATTAAAAGTTAGAAATAAATTTAATACTCATGTATGCATTAGAAAAAAGAAACTATAGTCAGGAATAGGATATGCTTAGATTATGGGAGAGAATGGCTTCCCCACACTTGAGTCTCACACACACACACACACACACACCCTGCGGGAAGTGCTGGGGGATAAGGTGGGCTCCAGCCTGTGGAGACAAGAGCCTGCGGCTGTGGTGTCACCTGGAGCTAAAGGGCTTTAACGGAGCAGCTGTGAGAATCAAGCATGGATAATTTTGCCAAGTATAAGAAGTTGGTGACAACTAGTTTCTTGAGTTCTCACAGTGATTGGTGAGAAAATGTCATTGTGAGACGTCTCTTTCATAGTGGAAAACAAAAGACACAAAATGCCCATGGCAAGAAGCCACGAAGGCAACTCTGAGGGCTCACGGGGGACCGAGCCACACATGCAGCAGCCCTTTCTGATGTGCAGATGCGTATGATTTCCAAATCCTATGCTCGGTACAGTTTCAGTGGAAATTCCTATGGTGGTGTTTTCAGTGTGGTCAGGTGTCCCTGTGGGATCTGCAAGTGTCATAGGCTGTGGGTCAAAGTGGGGACAGGGCCCTGGGGCAGGAAGGAGCGGGCGTGCCTGAAACAAGGAGGGGAGGGTGCCTTACTTGTGAACGCAGCACACTGGTACATCGGTGTGTGCATTTGTGTGCACAACGGAAGGGTCACAGGCCGGTCGGGAAGGGAAGTCGAAGTGACACTGGGCAGTGCTGGCTCTGCCCGTCCTCTGGAGCTGTCTGTGGGGAGGTGGCCACCTTGGGACAGTGCCTTTCGGGTAAATCCAAGGCAAGTGCAGCGTGCGGGAGAAGCTGTATTTAGAAAGATGCCCGGATGCAGTCAGAGCTGGCCAGGGGCCACTAGAGGCTGAGTAACTTATTTAACAATAGTCCTGTAATGATACTGATATTTAAGGAATACAAAGCTTCCTAATCACATGAGAAGTGCATGTCATAGAATGAAAAAAGAAGATGAAAATGACACTGTGCTCACTGTGACACTGCTTTTAAATAAATGCAAGACTAAAATCAAGGAAAAACACAAGAATAAGCACCCCTGGAACAAAGCATCTTTTCCTAGGCCCCCGCCCGCCACTCGGGCCTCCGGAGCTGTGACTCGGCCTCGGTGAGCTGGGGTCTGATTCTCGGTGTTTCTTGCTTTCCACCACAGAACGTGATGCTGGATCTTTCCAAACGCAGCCGCAGCGGGAAATTCCGCCTGGTGACCAAGTTTAAGAAGGAAAAAAACAACAAGAACAGAGAAGCGCACAGCAGCCTGGGAGCCCCGGGTACCTCCCTCGCCCTTATTCTGGCCGCCCTCGCCGGCCGGCCGCACACCCTCCCCGTGTCTGCGTTCTCCCGTGACCCTGGGCCGACCCCGGCATGGCCCGTGCCCAGTCGTCCCTCTGTAGCCGCAGATCTGTGCCCTGGCTTTGTCCTACCCTGGTTGCTGAGCAAGGTCACACCCTGAACTGCTCCCATGCACACTGGGTGACCCGCCACCGAGCCACCCGCCTGCCCTAGATGGAGGGTGCGAGGTGGGGAGGACAGCAGAGGTGACAGGACAGAGACAGAGCTCCCACTCAGGCCGGCTTCCTCTGAGGGCTGCTGATTTTCGTTTAATCAGTTCGGTGATCAACGCCCCCGCGCCGGGACCCTGGGTCGCCAGCTGTTGTGGACGTGAGACCAATTTCTATTGTGTGAGACCAATAGAAACTGACACTAAAGGACATTTTCCCTTTGGGTCAGTAAATTGGGACTTAAAGTCTTCATCTGAAGGGCTGGCCCTGAGCACAGCTGTCCACAGTGCTCCCGGGTGCCGGGTGGCCCCACGCCTGGATTTGGGGTGGCGTTGGCCCCCCTCGGGGTAGCTCCCTTGATTTTTCTTCTTCATGTTTGTCCAGAAATTGGGTTTCTTTTAATCATGGTGGCTCCGATGACATGAAATTGCTGCGTGTTCCCTTCCTGCTGTTTCCTGAAGTGATTGAGCCCTCTAGAAGGTGGAGGGAAAGCTGGCTTCAGCTGTAGTCAGACCCACATTTCCGTCGGGTTTGGTGCTGGTCCCTCCTGGGACCCGGGGAAGTGTCGGGAAGGCCGATGGCCGACCTGGCAGGAGTAGACCAGCCCCTGCCGCACTCACGCCCTTGAGAGCAGGTGGCTCCCTGCCACTTTCTGCACTGCTCAGGGTAGCGCCTGCCCCTGGGTGGCAGATGTCTGCTGCTGGGGCATCTGGGGTGCTGGCTGCTGGGGCGTCTGGGGTGCCGGCTGCCGGGGCGTCTGGGGTGCCGGCTGCCGGGGCGTCTCGGGTGCCGGCTGCCGGGGCGTCTGGGGTGCCGGCTGCCGGGGCGTCTGGGGTGCCGGCTGCCGGGGCGTCTCGGGTGCCGGCTGCCGGGGCGTCTGGGTGCCGGCTGCTGGGGCGCCTGGGTGCCGGCTGCCGGGGCGTCTGGGTTGCTGGCTGCCGGGGCGTCTCGGGTGCCGGCTGCCGGGGCGTCTGGGTGCTGGCTGCTGGGGCATCTCGGGTGCTGGATGCCGGGGCGTCTGGGTGCTGGCTGCTGGGGCGTCTCGGGCACCGCCTGCCTGGCACTGGGCTCGGGGCACTCACTGCACTCGTGCTTCTCCGTCTCCGACAGTTCACCTCTGGGGGACAGAGGAGGTTGCTGCCTGGCTGGAGCACCTCAGTCTCTGTGAGTATAAGGACATCTTCACACGGCACGACATCCGGGGCTCCGAGCTCCTGCACCTGGAGCGGAGGGACCTCAAGGTATTTCCTCAGCATCTCCCGGGTACACACACCTGGCGTCCCCGCAGCTTGGCCTCTGTCCCCTCCCTCTGACCTGGCCATGTCCCAGCATCAGGATTGTCACAGTTCTTCTGAGGCCTTTGTGCACAACTCGGGGTGACGGGTGGCCGTGGCCCCTGGCAGTAATGTCTCCACCCAGCATAGCAGACAAAGCCAGAGCAGACATAATGGGGAGACCTTGCTTTTCTTCGCCTGAGCGGCCAGTGAACTATTTTAACATTAAAGCCTCTGTGGGGGACACAGCCCTGCACTGATCAGTCAACCTGAAGAGCTCTGTGGTGATGGGTGAAGGGGACCCCAGCATTCGGGGTTTCCTCTGTTGGTGACGTCGTGGATTATATATAGTCCAGGAGACCTGGTGGCTGCTGGGCGTGTATCGCCTCCTCCAGTACAGTCACACGTCACACTTGCCTGGGTCCACGAGCTTCCTGGGATAACGCGTCACTTTGTCTCATGGGAGGCACAGGGGGCAGCACCTTACCCAGCTCAGGTGACATGAGCCCCTGGACCTGGCTCTGCCCAGCGCAGGGCCACGGCCCGGGTTGTGGGTCACCTGCTGCCAGGCCTGTGTTTGTCTTTGTCTCGTTCGCTGTCCCCTCAGCGGCGTCAGTGACTGTGGGTCACAGAAGCCATGTGGGGGCGTCCACATGCTTGTCACTTTGTGTGCTGGTCCCATCTCGTGTCACCGTTTTCCTCACTTCCACCCTCGTGTGTGTTAAGTCACATGGGCAGCCTGCGTGGTGCCCTGGCGCTGTGCCCGGCGTCAGGTGGCTGTGCTCTCGTTGCAGGACCTCGGCGTGACCAAGGTGGGTCACATGAAGAGGATCCTGTGTGGCATCAAGGAGCTGAGCCGGAGCCCCCCTGCCGCCGAGGCCTAGCGTCCGCCCTCTCGGCCTGTGTCCTCCGCTCCTGCGACTGAGGCCGGGGGGCGCGGAGCGGCCTGGGCCCCTTCTCATGGTGCTACCCCCTCTGCTCGCGGCAGGAAGCCTCTCAGACCCCGTCCGGGCCAGCTCGCGGGCTTGCACACACCAACACAGCTACCTTCGGACACGCACCTTTTCCAACCTGGCGGCGTGTGGGCCGAATGGTGCCACCACCTCTCAGCTCTCGCTGACCCGTGTCCTGGGCACTGGGCATCACAGCAGAGCGGCCTGTCTGGGCCGCATGCGATAGTCCTGTGGGCTCCCGTCCACGTGGGGCCGTCTCCCGGGCGTTCAAACGCGACTCAGCTGGCTCTCAGGAGCCAGTGGTGTCCCACTCGGGAAAGTTCGGTGTCCGCCAGCCGCTCTGTGGTTCTTCACAGCAGCCCGAGGCCTCCCACTGCTGATGTCCTGTTTATCAACAAGGTCTTCCACGAAGGTCACGCCTTTCCTGGTTTGAAAGAGGCACGGGAGCGTTTCCAGTCCTGTTCCTTTTAATGCGACATGAAGAGAAAGGGAAGCTCGCTCCTCAGGACTGTGACTAGGCCGTCAGGGTCTCAAGATGACAGCGCCGTCCCCTCCCGCCCCCCCAGTGCCTCAGGTCCCTCCTGAGCTGTGTGCATGGGGACACAGTCCCGTCTGTCCCAGGGCGCCACAGCCTCTGCAGTGCTGTCTAGGGTCGGAATGCCCGACGGCCGGCGGCCTCCCCGGGCCGCACAGGCTGCTGGCACTAGCTCAGTATTTCTGTGGGAGAGGAGGCTGCCACCCCGCAGAGCGGCCCTGAGTGGGCAGTCAGGCTGTCCTGAGAACCTCTGAACCTGCAGATGGCTTGTCGTGTCACACTACCAGGCCCCACGTCCCTGGAGGTGTCAGTGGCCCCGTCACCCCTGCCCCCAGCCCTCACTGCCCTGGACTCTGCCCCCTTCTCCCCTTCAGAGTTGGCCAGACCTCATAGGGTTCTTGTTCACCCTGGAAAGGGGGAATCTGTGACCTGCACCCCAGCCGCTGGGTGTGTGGGGGCCCCACACCCCGAAGGGGAGGGCTGAGCATCAGTGCCTGTGGCTGGGTTGCCGAGCGTGTGAGGGGTTGAGCAGGAGGGCACAGGCGCCGTGCGGAGTCGCCGCAGGAGGCCTCTTGGGGACCCACAGCCGGACAGCATTTACTTGCCACTTGTTTGCAGACCCCCTACCGGCTCCCGGCCAGGCCTCCCACTGGTGGTCCCGGGTGCTGGGCACAAGCTGAGGCCCTGCCCCTGCCCCTGCCCCAGGGTTCCATGACCCACTCCAGTGCCCACGTGTGACATGGTGGTGACACGGTGGTGTTGGGGTGTGTGGTAGAGAAGTCCCATGTTCTGCTCATGCCCTCAGCAACCCTGTTGGCGGTAAGACCGGCCGCTGTGTGTCACCCCTCCCTGTGAAGGTGGAGCGAGAATGAAGGACCAGCAGTCACTCAATGTCACATTCGAGATCATGGGGACCCGTGCCCGTCGTTTCAGAGCGGGCTGCCCTGTTGGCTTGAGGCGGGGGCACCTGGGGTCCCAGACAGGACAGGCTAGAACTGGGGTGAGGGGGTGGGGGGCGCACCCCATGCCCTCAGCGCCCTCCCCTTGGGAAACCTTAGGTTTGGGTCAAGTGTGGTGTTTAAAATTAATATGTTGTCAGTGATTAAAGCAGCACTGTTTACGTAAAAGCCATTTTTCTAATTCCAGTAAGTTAGGAGTGAAACGAGTAAACATGAGTGTCGCATGAAACTGTCGATGAAGGGCCAGGTCCCTGTCTGTTGTGAATCTTTGTTGTTGCACGTGGGGTGCTCCTCTGCCCGCCCCAGGACCCCTGTTGTGTGACGGGCTGTTCCCCCAGATCCCGCGGGTCTTGCGGTCCTGTCGCTGTGCAGGGAGGAAGGGGGGGGCCCTGGAGTCTTGGAGAAAGGTTTTGTGTCCTCGGGTGGGGCTTACCCTCATATTTATGATCTTAATTTATACGGTGCCCACCGTGGAAGCAGATGCCTCCTGTATCGCCGTGTACATAGTCCACCTCTGAGGTTGTAAATAAGTTGTTCTGTGTATAAATAAAACAAGCCTGTTTTTGATCTTCCATTGTCAGATTTCTTGTCATCATTACTTGTGCTTTGACATAAAATGTTGGTTCCCCAAATCCTTCCAGACTGGATTTAGAGTTACATTTTTCAGCTGCCCTAAAAATACATTGAATTGGTGGTGGCTGAGAAGCAAAGTAGAATGGCATTGTACTTTTTAGGGTGTGGGCTGTAGGATCTGTTGGATTAGACAGGAAGAGGGGGTGCCGGGTCGGCTGAGGTTCTCAGATTTAATCCCATGCAACCTCGGCCCGGCCTGCTTACTGAGGGTAGATCATTTTAACTAATATTCTAATGTAAATCTTCTATATAAAACTGCGAACCGGAAGCTCTCCTACCTCTGTTTATTCATAGTACATTTATTCCAAGGGAGCTGCCTCTTCAAACTTACGCTCACTTTGTCACCTCCAGTTCTTGGGATGAGGGATGGGGACTGGGATCATGGAACTGAAAATCAGGATGGCAAATTGACAGACATAAAGACAGAGATCAACAGCAACACTATCGTAGTAGGGGACTTCAACACCCCATTGTCACCAATGGACAGATCCTCCAGATGGAAAATCAACACAGAAACAGTGGCCTTAAATGACACTTTCGACCAGCTGGATTTAATTGATATGTTTAGAGCATTTCACCCCAAAGCAACAGAATATACGTTGTTCTCAAGCGCACATAGATCATTTTCCAAGATAGACCACATGTTAGGGCACAAAACCAGTCTCAATAAATTTAAGAAGATTGAAATCATATCAAGCGTTTTCTCTGACCACAAGGCTATGAAACTAGAAATCAATTATATATGGAGCCTGACTAACATGCTACTAAATAGTGAGTGGGTCAAAACTGAGATCAAGGAAGAAATCAAAAGCTATCTCAAGACAAACGGAAATGAAAACACAACAACCCAAAATCTATGGGATGCAGTGAAAGCAGTTCTAAGAGGAAAATTCATAGCAATGCAGGCCTATCTAAAGAAACAAGAACAATCTCAAATCAACAGACTATCTTTACACCTAAGGGAACTGGAGAAAGAGCAGCAAAACAAGCCCAAAAGGAGTACAAGGAAGGAAATAATAAAGACCAGAGCGGAAATAAATGAAATAAGAGACCAGAAAAACAATACAAAAGATCAACGAAACCAAGAGCTGGTTTTTTTTGAGAAGATAAAATTGATAAAGCTCTAGCCAGACTCATTAAAAAAAAAAAAGAGGACTCAAATTAGCAAACTCATAAATGAAACAGACTAAATGACAACAGACACCACAAAAATACAAAAAATTTTAAGAAATTACTATGAGCAACTGTATGCCAACAAACTTGACAATCTGGAAGAAATGGATAATTTTCTAGAAGCATACAGCCTTCCAAAGCTAATTCAAGAAGAAACAGAAAATCTGAATAGATAGATTACTACCAAGGAAATTGAATCAGTAATCAACAAGCTCCCAACAAACAAGTGAATTTTACCAAACATTCAAAAAAGAATTGTCACCTATTCTCAAACTATTCCAAAAAATCCAGGAGGGAAGGATCCCAAACTCTTTCTATGAAGCCACGATCACTCTGATTCCAAAACCAGACAAAGACAGTACAAAAAAGGAAAACTACAGGCCAATATCTCTGATGAACAGAGATGCAAAAGTCCTCAACAAAACATTAGCAAACAGAATTCAGCAATATATTAATAAGATCATACATCATGATCAGGTGGGTTTCATCCCCAGTACGCAAGGTTGGTTCAACATCTGCAGATCAATTACTGTGATACACCACATCAAAACATGAAAAATAAAAATCATATCATACCAATAGATGCAGAAAAAGCATTTGACAAAATACAGCAGCCATTTATGATAAAAACTCTTAGCAAAGTGGGAATAGGGGGATCATATCTCAACATAATGAAAGCCATATATAATAAACCCACAGCGAACATCATACTCAATGGGGAAAGGCTAAAACTATTCCCCTAAAGATCAGGAACAAGACAAGGCTGTCCACTTTCTCCACTTTTATTCAACATAGTTCTGGAAGTTCTAGCCACAGCAATCAGACAAGAAAAAGATATAAAAGTCATCCAAATCGGTAAGGAGGAAGTAAAATTGTCATTATATGCAGATGACATGATACTATATTTAGAGAACCCCAAAGACTCCATCAAAAATCTATTGGAACTGATAGACAAATTCAGTAAGGTAGCAGGATACAAAATTAATATTCAGAAATCAGTTGCATTTGTATATACCAATAATAAACTATCAGAAGGAGAAATTAAGAAAACAGTTCTATTTACAATTGCTTCAAGAACTATAAAATACTTAGGAATAAATTTAACCAAAGAAGTAAAAGACCTGTACTCAGAAAATTATAAGACACTGAAGAAAGAAATGAAGATATAAATAAATGGAAACACCTACCATGCTCATGGATGGGAAGAATTCATATAGTTAAAATGTCCATACTGCCTAAAGCAATATATAGATTCAATGCAATTCCTATCAAACTACCACGGGCACTTTTCACAGAAATAGAAAATATCCTAAAATTTATATGGAACGAAAAAAGACCCTGAATAGCCACGGCAATCCTGAGAAATAAGAACAAAGTCAGGGGTATCATGCTACCAGACATCAAAACATACTACAAGGTTACGCTAATCAAAACAGTATGGTACTGGCATAAAAACAGGCAAATAGACCAATGGAACAGAATAGAGAGCCCAGAAATAAATTCATGTATATACGGACAGTCTATGACAATGGAAGCATGAATTACACTGGGGTAAAAATAGTCTTTAAATAATGGTGCTGGGAAAATTGGACTGACACATGTAATAAAAATGAAACGGGACCACCTCCTTACACCATATACAAGAACAAATTCAAAACGGATTAAAGACTTAAGTGTAAGACCTGAAACCATAAAACTCCTAGAAGAAAATATAGGGACTAAATTTGCAGACATTACCCTGAGCAATATTTTTACTGCTACATCCCCGTGGGCAAGGGAAGTAAAAAAAAAATTAGGGCCGGCCGAGTGCCTCAGTTGGTTAAGAGCTCACTCAAGAGTGTGACCTCTGAGCAACAGTGGCTCGAGTCCTGGCCCAAGCTGAGCTGCCCACAGGTGGCAGGATGGCTCAGCTAAAAAACAACAAAAAAAATGAACATATGGGACTACATCAAACTTAAAAGTTTTTTCACAACAAAGGAAACCAATCAAACAAAAGGAAGCCTACTGAATGGGAGAAGATATTTGTCAGCGATATACCTGATAAGGGGTTAATATCCAAAATTTATAAAACACTCATGCAACTCAACACCAAAAAAACAAACAACCCAATTAAAAAATGGGTAGAGGATATGAAGAGACATTTCTCTAAAGAGGACATACAGATGTCCAACAGGCATATGAAAAAATGTTCAACCTCACTAATCATTAGGGAAATGCAAATAAAAACCACAATGAGATACCACTTCACTCCGGTCAGAATGGCTATCATCAATAAATCAACAAACAAGAAGCGCTGGTGAGGCTGTGGGGAAAAGGGAACCCCGGTGTACTGTTGGTGAGACTGCAGATTGGTGCAGCCATTGTGGAAATCAATATGGAGGTATCTCAAAAAACTGGAAATGGAACTACCGTATGACCCAGCAATTCCACTCTTAGGTATTTATCCAGAAAAACCCAAGATACTAATTCAAAAAAATACATGCACCCCTATGTTCTTTGCAGCACTATTTACAATAGCCAAGACTTGGAAACAACCGAAATGCCCATCGGTAGATGACTGGATTAAGAAACTGTGGTACATTTATACAATGGAGTATTACTCCGCTATAAAGAAGAAGGAAATTATACCATTTGCAACGATATGGATGGACCTAGAGAACATTATGCTAAGTGAAACAAGTCAGTAGGAGAAAGACAACCATATGATTTCACTTACATGTGGAATCTAAAAAACTGGATGAACAAGCAAAGTAAACAAACAGTCTCAGAGACACAGGAAGAACTGAAGATTGCTAGTTGGGAGGGGGTGGGGATGAGGGAGAAGGGGAAGGGACGAAACAACATAAATTGGTAACTACAATATGGCCTCAGGGATAGAAAAGACAGTCTGGGGAATATAATCAATAATGTAAATATTTTTTAGGGGGCCAAATGGACTCATGTCTTGTTAAGGAGACCACTTCATAGACGGTGTAGAGGTCTGACCACTGACTGCATTGTACATATGAAGCTGCCATTGAATAATATTTGAATATTATTTGCAGCTCTGCCCCCGGGCGGGCTCAGGAACCGCTGGCACACTCGATGTTCCCAACCCCAGCAGGAACGGGGTGACCAGAGCCACACTGGCAGATCCCTGAGTGACTGACACACATCTGCCCTTGACTGTTCTGGGGAAAAAAAAAATTCATTGTTAGAGTCGTGATATTTGGGGGTTTACTTGTTAAAGTAGCTGAGCCTGCCCCAACTTACGGCAACTCACATTAGCAAGAAATCGTACCATTTGCAACGATATGGATGGACCTAGAGAACATTATGCTGAGTGAAATAAGTCAGTTGGAGAAAGACAAATAACCATATGATCTCACTTATATGTGGAATCTAAAAAAAATGGATGAACAAGCAAAGTAAACAGAAATAGTCTTAGAGACACAGAGGAAAAACTGATGATTCAATTATATATATAATTGAATATATATATATATATATATATATATATATATAGTTATGGGATGTGGAGTATAGTGTGGGAATGGAGTCAATGGAACTAATAGATATGTATGATATTGGAGGTGGAGGGCAGTGGATGGGGGGAGGGGGGTTGTCACTTTGTGAGGAGTGAAAAGGATAACTATTGTATGGTTTTGTACACCTGAAACTAATAATAAAAAAAATAATAATAAAATAAGCCATGGGTCAAAGAGAATTAAAAAAAAAGAATTCCCTATTTAGGCAGCTAATCATGAATCTGGATTTAATTTTACAG